TTTAAAAAAAAAAAAAAAAGAAGAACAGGAATGTGAATGGTTGAAAACCTCCAGTTTTCTTGTGTGCACAGAGGGCACCAGCCTAATTTATTATTCTTAGATCCCTGTTTGTAAAAAAGTTTTGAGACTATGTATCTTTTGCTGGCTTGGATTGCTATGTAGACCAGGCTGGCCTTGAACTTGCTATGTGGGCCAGGTTGGCCTCTGAGTCACAGAGACCTCCTGACTCTGCCTTTTGAGTATTAAGGTTAAAGGCCTTTACCACCATGCCCAGCCCATCTTTGTAATTTTGTACTCAAGTCTTTTCAGTTTTTGCCTTCCTGTATCAATTAAAAATCAGAGTTTTAAAGGTTTAACTTTAAAATGTATCTCCTTCCTTAAGGAAATCCTTTGAATTTGAGGATATTCAGCACTTTAGAAATCGGAACGCACAGAAGATTCATGAAGAACTTGGAAGAAATTCTGGTTCAGCACTTTATTACACACAGTCTGAGGACAATATCTATGAAGATATCATATGTAGGTGTTCATGGTTTGCATTTAGATTTAATGTGCATGTGTTTGGTGGTGTTCTTAATTGTAGGTTGTTTCTTTTATAATCAAGCATATCTTCTAAGTTTTTTTTTCTGATATAGACACATTTGGTTTATAAATTCTTTCACCCATTAATGAGTTTTGTTACTAATATAATGGATGACTTAGTTCAGAAAGAAGTCAATGTTCACACTATAGTATTTTGAGAATTCTTTTAGCTTGGTTGGACACCCAAGTGAGTTATAAAAACATAAGATGTCATTGACCTTACATCCCTACAAGAATGTAGAATAAGAAAAATCACTGTCATCCCTTTTTTTTTCTAGCTGTGGTTACTGTTTCTGTTTAATTATGTTCCTCTAAGCAGTTTTTCTTCATTGTTTTTAAAGATCCCACCAAAGAAAATCCCTATGAAGATATTCCCATGCAGCCTTTCCCCATGTGGAGATCCCCTTCAGCGTGGAAGCTACCACCTGCTAAAAGTGCCTTCAGAGCTCCCAAGGTACAACCAGAGGGCTAGTGACAAAAACAGGAGACCTATGCATAGTCTGTACCACAGATAAAGGTGGTTTAACTGGGGCCAACACTAAGAGGCATTGAAATGCAGGTTTTATTGGTGGTGGTAGTGATTTTTCTTTTTTTCTATGTTAGTTTTGTTTGTTTGTTTTTGTCTTTTTGAGACAGGGTCTTCCTGTAGCTCTAGCTGGCCTGAAACTCACTATGTAGACCAGGCCGGTCTTGAACTCACAGAGGTCCGCCTATCTCTGCCCCCCAAGTGCTGGGATTAAAGGCATACACCCCTCCCCCCAACTTTCCCCCAACTTTTTCTATGTTAGTTTTTTGAAACAGGGTCTTCCTGTAGCCCCAACTGGTATGGAACTCACTATGTAGACTGGGCTGGCCTCTATCTCACCTGCCTTTGCCTCCTAAGTGCTGGGATTAATGGCGTGTGCCATCACTCCCAGCTTAATGGTGATCTTTTTTTTTTTTTTTAAATAGTACACAGGGATTTTTTTCCTATGTCTTTGTTTGCTATTTGTTTTTTTTATTTTAGTATTTCAAAAATAGTTTATTATGAATACCTTTAAACCAGGGCTTCTTAAACCTTTTCTGCTTACAACCCCTTTTCACCAAAGACTTTTTTATGTTTTAATTTATTATTTTTAATTTTTATTGAATCTTTGTGTACTGTATATAGAAAATCCTAATCATCTTTATACCCCCTTCCCCACTGACCCTCTCCCATAGCCCCCCCACTGGAATTCATATACTGTCATTTGTGTCAAGGCCCATCATGTCAAGCTAGTGTCTCCAGATGTCCCTCAGAGCAAGCCCATCAACCGAGGTCTGGTCAGCCTATCCAGAGTCCCTCCCTTTAAGAAGATCAGCTCTTCCTCACCCAGCAGCAATCAGCTGCCAAGAATTCTTTGACTAAGATTGGAGCCTGCTGTCCATTTCCACAGTTCTGTGCTGGACTTTTGTCTGCTTGAGTTTGCATGGGTCTTATGCATGCTGACACCATTACTGTAGGTTCATGTGAGGAGGAGGAGGGTCTCCGGAGTCTGTAGGACTCTATTTGCATATGGTCCTGCACCTACTCCCTGGCTCTTAGAATCTTTCTGCCCCTCTTCTGCAATTGTCTTTGAATCCTGGGTGAGTATAATAATCTCTTGTCTGTTGCAAACGAAGCTTCACCAAAGAAATTTTTATGTGACCCCAGATGTATAGGTATGCAATAGGTATATAAATAAAACATTTGCTAATAAATCATAGAGAATTTTATTTTAAAACATTTATTGGTGTGCATATAATTTTATGATTTATTAAAAACAGAAGCAAATTGCATACTAATGAGATGGATGTGTGCATTTATTTTTTACGCAAAGAATTGAATCTGGCTGAATATTTGATGCTATAGTACAAAATGGTAGAAGTAGGTTTAGGGCCATTCTGAACCAAAATTCACTTAATAGTTTTTATGACACTCAAGTCAGCAATTGAAGCAGCAATTTTTAAAATAAAATATTCTAACACAATAAAATCCAAATATACATTTGACCCTTAAAATGCTGAGCAATGACAGTAGGAAACTATAAAAAGTCTTTGTTTTCCATAATTAAACTCTTTATGTAAGCAGATTTTGTATATGAAACAGTATAAATGGTAAACACCAACACTGAGTCATAGCATGGAGTAGTCAGGAATCTGAGCTGAGCGCTATTGGTGTTGAATGACATGATGATATGGGCAGTGCACAGTACCTGTGTGTTCAGAATCAAGGCTGTAGTGAAGTTGCACCATGTAGTGCTGCCAAAGTATACTTCGCTTTCATTACTGATTGGGTTTTTAGTTAATTTTTGGTTGGTGAGTGTGCAGATACCTTTTACTATTGCCAATTTTTAAAAAGATTTTATTTTTATTTAAAATTTTGTGTATGTGTGTGTCTATGTGTATAAGACACAAATATGTGTGGGATTCCTGGAGCTGGAGTTAACAAGTGGGTATGAGCCACCAGATGTGAATGCTGGGAACCTAACTCAGGTCCCCCTGCAGGAGCAGTATGTGCTCTTAACAGCAGAGCCATCTCTCTAGCACTGTTGCCAAATTTTTTATGGCCCCCACATTCAGTTATATCACCCCACATTGGGTCACTATCTGCAATTTAAGAAGCTATGCTTTAGCTAGGCCATGAATTTTTAAGCTCATTATAGCTCCCAACACTCCCTATTAGTCTCACATCAGCCTGAGGCCTAAATTCCTGCCTGCTCCCTCAAAGCTTTGAGATCCATTTAAGTTAGTGAACTCGATGAGCTGTTGTTCTTTGGGAATTTGGTTATTTTGTAGTAGTGAAACTTTAGAAAAACAGAGATGCCACTTTACCTACAGTGAGAAAGCAATGATGGTATCCCATTGGAGATAATTTTGAAGGAAAGGTAAGTGTTTTTCAGGGATTACCTAGAGATACTCTTACTTTATCAGCACCTCTTCTCCTGTTTTAGCTTCCTCCCAAACCTCAGTTCCTTCAGCGGAAGACTATGGAACTGAAGAACCCTCAAGCTTATTTACGATCAAAGCTCTCGAAGGACACCACTTTGCCGGTTACTTTAACTGAATGGAAACTTTTCCGAGCCGGAGAAGTTGCTAACAGGAAAAAGGGAAATCTTCCAAGGGTGAGGACTTCAGTACTTTCATTCTTCAAATCTTACTTCATCATTTTAATAAAGTAGAGTAAACAAACTTTAAAGTGAAATGAATATTAGGTTAGAGTTCACCTGTTGGAATTAGAAGATTTAGAAAGTAGTCTCAAGTTTCTGATTTCTTTCCTTCTTTTATCTCCCTCCCTCCCTTCTGTCCTGCTGACATGAAACTCACTATGTAGACCAAGTTAGCCTTAAACTCACAGAGGTCCTCCTGCCTCTGCTTCCCCAGTGCTGGGACTAAGGCATGTGCCAACATGCCTGGCTAAATTTTTTATTTCTGCTCATGCAAGAAATTACACCATTGGCTTTTGCCATTCTTTTTTGATGGATAGGAAATTTGATATCAAATGGAGAGCTCCTCAGTCATCTTAGTTCCTATTAAAAATCAGCTTCTATTTCAAGGAAACGTAGACTCGCAAACAAAGGACATTCTTTTCATGTTCTCATTCATTACCAAAGTGAGTTCATGCCATAGTTAACAGCTTTTTAGTAAGGATAAAGTATATGCCATTCTTTCAGATCCAGATTTTCCATTCAGAGGTGGAGAAATCAGACCATTACTTGGAATGAGACATCATAAAAAAACCATACTAAATAAATGATCTAACCCACAAGGGAGGGTGAAAAGACAGTAAGTCTGCACATCATCTTGACAAACTGTTAAGACCAGAATTTTTAAAATAATGAGATTACTGGGGGCTTGAGAGATGACTCAGCAGCTAAATGTACCACCTGCCCTTGCAAAGGACCTTCCCAGCACCCACATGGTGACTAACGACCCTGGAACCCCAGTTCTAAGGGATCTGACACCTCTTTTGGCCTCCATTGGCATTGCATGCACAGGTGCACTTGCATACACTCAGGAAAAACACTTATACAACATAAGAAAAAAAGAGAAAGAAAAGAAAAAGAATTTTTTAATTTTAATTTTTTATTGAATTTTTGTGTATTTCATACAGAGCATCTTAATAAACTTCATACCCCTTCCCCATTGGCACCCACCCATAGCTCCCCCCTCCCTGCTGAGTTCGTATATCCTGTCATTTGTGATAAGGCCTATCATGTCAAGATAGTGTCTCCAGATGTCCCTCAGTACAAATTCACCCACTGAGGCCTAGTCAGCCTATCTAGAGTCTGTCCCTTTAAGAAGATCAGCTCTGGGCTAGGTGTGGTGTGGCAGAGGCAGGCGGATCTCTGTGAGTTCAAGGCCAGCTGGGGCTACAGGGAGACCCTGTCTCAAAAAGGCCAAAAATAAAAAAGGAAGGAAAAAAGAAAAAAGAAGATCAGCTCTTCCTCATCCAGCAGCAATCACTGCCAGTAACAGTGATTCAACTAAGATTGTGGCCTGCTATCCATTTCCACAGTTCTGGGATTTTGTCTGCATGAGTTTATATGGGTCTTACATATGCCGACACCATTGCTGTAGGTTCATGTGAGGAGGGTCCCAGGAGCCTGTAGGATTCTTATTTGTGTATGGTCCTGTACCTCCTCCCTGGCTCTTACAGTGTTTCTGCCCCCTCTTCTGCAATGGTTCCTAAGCCCTGGGTGGGTGGATTTTAATATAGGAGTCCTGTTCAAAGAGCTACATTCTGTAGACTTTTTTTGGGGGGAGGGGAGTCTTTTTGAAACAGGGTCTCCCTGTAGCCCCAGCTGGCTTGGAACTCTCTATGTAGACCAGGCTGGCCTTGAACTCACAGAGATTTGCCTGCTTCTGCCTCCTGAGGGCTGGGACTAAAGGCATGCACCACCACACCCAGCTTCATTCTGTAGACTCTTATTCTCTACATTTTGGCCATTTGTGATCTTTTGCGTTCCTGGCCCTCTGTTGCATGAGGGAGCTTCATTGATGAGAATTGAAAGATGCATTAGTGTTCTCTTCATCCCTTGTTATTTGCTCTGTGAGCCTTAGGGTTTAGAGGTTGCATCTTCGTTGTGCCACTTAGGCTTGGGCAATTCACAGACAATCTCTGTGTATGACCAAGTGTGGAACTCTGTAATCTCTGTCTGTTGAAGAAGAAACTTCTTTGATGGGTGGTGACTGGGATACTTGTCTGTAAATTTAAGGATCCATATTTTCCCACATAGTAAGAAATTATGGGCTGGAGAGATGGCTCAGTGGTTAAGAACACTGGTTGATCTTTCGGGAGACCTGTGTTCCACCCACATGGAGGCTAACAACCGTCTGTAACTCCAGTTCTCTTTGGGCATTGTACCACATGGGTGCACTTACATACATGCAGACAATATACTCATACACATAAAATAAAAGTAAACAAATAATTAAAAAAACAAACAAAGAAATTACATTTGTCTAGGGATGTGACAGCCTTGAGGCTTTCTCTAAGATCTATGACTTCTCCAGCTATGTGTTAAAATGAGATTACTTGTAGATGTATCTTCTTTTAGGAGAGCCATTTAAGTGGTTACATGAAAATATTTTAAGTCTATCCTTAATTACGGAATTTTTAGGGTTGACAAATACAGTAGCAGACATTATACAATAATGAAGAATTTAGATCATTGAAATCTTTTCCCCTTCCGTATGCCATGTGAATTAGCTAAGCATATTCATTTTAGTACACAATTTTTGTACCTGACTTTCACATTAAACAAAAGTCACAGCTGTTTCTTGGTTTAATGACTGCTGATTGGTTCCACAATTAATCTAATTCTTCTGATCTATTTCCTGCCCTTGCTCTTTAAAACTTGGAGTTTAAAGAATTTGCAGGCATCCTACAGGGGCTTTGTCAGGAAGATCATGCTGGCATCCACAAAAGCCTCCTGCTTGGTTCTAGAGAGCAGATTGTGTTCTTAGGGGAAGAACACAGACTCCCAATGATTCCACTTAAGATTATTTAAAATTAATTTTTAATTGAATTGCAAATTTTATGCAATGTATTTTGGTCACATTTAGATCCCTTCCCATATCTGCATCCTCTGTTAACCCTCCACCAAATTTCTTTTCTATCTATCCATCCATTCATCCATCCATTTATCCATTCATCCATCCATCCATCCATCCATCCATCCTACAGAGTGAGGTTTGTGTCCCCAAATGCCCTTCAGAGTGGTTCACCCACTGGAGCCTGGTTAACCTCCTTGGAGTCTTACAATTAAATGAGACTGAATCTCCCTGCCCAAGCAACCATGAGTTGCTAATAGTTCCTCAGATAGGTTGGGGTTTCTTTTTTTTTTTTAAACAATTTTATTATTATTATTATTATTATTATTTGTACAGATGTTTTGCTTGCTGGTATATGTTTATTGGGGTGTGCATGTGTGCGCGCGTGTGCTTGTGTGTGTGTGTGTGTGTGTGTGTGTGTGTTTGTGTGTGTAGTACCCATGAAGGCCAGAAGGAGACAACAGAACCAGAGCTGCCATGTGGGTGCTGGGAGTTGAACCCGGGTCCTCTAGAGAACAACAAGTGCTCTTATCTCCTGAGCCACCTCTCCAGGGAAAGGAGAGAGAAGAAGAGAGAGACAGAGGGGGATGGGTGGATGGATGGAGGGCAGGAGGGAGAGAAAGAGAGAGAACACACTGGCTGAGGAGATTCTGTAGTGTGGATTTGACACTCTCTTGTATGGTGTCTCAGATATTAGAAACCTATTCTCTTTCTGGTAAAAGGTGATATGATACTCTTCCTTTTCTGAAAAACATTCTTTGAGACAAGGTTTCATGTATCTCTGTTTAGCCTTCAACTCACTATGTAACCAAGGATGACTCTGAACTTCCTGCCTCTACCACCTAAGTGCTAGGATTATAGGCATATGCTACCATGTTGGGTTTATACAGTACTAGGAATTGAACCCAGGGCTTTGTACATTCTAGGCAAGCATTCTACCAACTGAGTTACAATTCCCAACTCCCCCTTTCTCGAATTTTCCAAAAAAATTTTGGATAAATTAGGAAAAAGAAAATGGTATTGACTAGCCCCCCCCCCCCAGCTATATAGCTCAGGCTGGCCTTGAACTTGTCATCCTCTTGCTTCAGCCTCATCAGTGGGGGGTTTTAGGCAGGTGTGTGCTACCACTCCCCAGGCTGGTGAGGAATACTGGCTTATTGGGAAGAAACAGGCTATTAGCATTTATACCTGTGACCTTCCTTAGATTCAATTTTTTTTTTTTTTGGTCTTTTTGAGACAGGGTGTCCCTGTAGCCCCAGCTGTCCTGGAATGCATTATGTAGACCAGGCTGGCCTTGAACTCACAGAGATCCACCCGCCTCTGCCTCCCAAGTGCTGGGATTAAAGGCGTGCGCCACCATGACTGGCAGATTCGATTCTTTTAAGATGTCCCATATGCAATACAAAATTTGATTTTGGAGTATCATTGATAAATGATAGATCATTGATCTAGTCCATATGTCTCCTCCCCAGCCTTCCTTTCTTTCCCTGCTGTGGAAACCCATGTTTTATATGTGTTTGTCCAGTGAGTAGTTTCTGTCATTTCTTAGAATATTCTGCAGTGTTTCCTGCAACTGAAAGGTAAATGTAGGCTCCTCTTCCTAGCTCTTAATTGAAGTGGAAGGTTACCACATGTCTTCGCTGATATTTCCAAAACTGTAATTTTGTTTCCTTCAAAACATGTGGGCATACTTTTTAGATGCACATTAATATTCATGCTGTCTTAGGTGTTTCTGCACTTAGTGTTTGCTTCTATAAATCTTTTTTTTAAATGTTTTTTATTTTATTTTTATTTTATGTGTATGAGTGTTATGTCTGCATGTGTGCAATGACACCCATGTCATGCAGTGCCTGCAGAGGACAGAAGAGGGCGTCGGATCCCCTGGAACTGGAGTTGCAGATGGTTGTTAGCTGCCATGTGGGTGCTGGGATTCAAACCCAGGTCTTCTACAAGAACAGCCGGTGTTTTAACCAGTGAGCCATCTCTCCAACCCCCCTATAAATCTTTTTTATAGTTCATAGCAATACCTTTTTATTTTAGAGTCTCCTGTTTGTCTTTTGTAGTGGCAGTATTTAAGAACACTGGCAGTTTTTCATTGAATGGTGATTATAGAAATCCTTTAGAGAACAAACTCATCTAGAAATGTGAAAGTGATCTGTGTCTGGAAGCATGCATTCTCATATGCTTTTTCTTGTACTGGACTGACTCATGGCTTGTTGATTGCCAGGATTGTAAAAAAACAAGGACAAAAGAGAACAACAAGCATTTTCCTTTATCAACCCTGTTAACTCTCATACAGTGTTCTTAAGAATTGTATCTAGGCAGTGTGTTAAGTCAAGATTGATACTTAAGCTTGGAACCTTAACAAAAAAGAAAAGTATGTGTGGAAAACTGGTCAGCTCCTTGCTTTTGAAGTATCTGTTGGTGGAACAGCTCATGTTCTTCTTTTTCACCCCAGTCTGTCCTTCCTCTTCCTCCTCCCCCTCCCCTCCCCTCCCCCTCCCACACAGACACAAACACACACACTTTGCCGGCAGTAAAGAAAGAATTTGAGTAATGCCTTTTAAATAGAAACATTTATATAACAATTTTAAAATAAATGGTCTGAGTGTAGTTCCTCGAGGTATAGATTGATGAATGGAGTTGGGGAAAAATACAGCTTTACGTAGAGTAATTTGAGTCTCCTATTTTTTATAACATATTTCTAAAATAAACTGTAACATTAATACCTCTAGTAGTGAAGAGTGTATTCCTTTTTACAAAAGCTCTGTGAGTATGATTGTCTCCTCTTTGGGAAGAATTCCTGGGAGCAGAAATAACGCAGCCCCACCCTGCCTTCCAAGTGGAGGAGTATTCCCAGTCCTACTCTGAGCAAGTGAAAACTTGAGCTTAATAAAGGCGTAACCACTGTGGAGAGTGCAGTAGCCACATGCCCTGCATGTTGTGACAGGGAGTGACACAGAGTCTGCCTTAAGAAGCTGTATTGGGTTCATCTGGAAGGCCAGTGTCCTTTCCCACTTCCCCTCGAAAACATCATTTAACTGTATAATTTTAGTTCAAAATTGCAAAATGCAAAGGTTTTTGTTATGAGTCTCTTCTTTCAACTGTAATGTAATATATTAATGCCATCAAGCTGAGAACATTGTTAGTGTGGATTTTGATTTGTAGTTTTCTTATCTTTTTTCAGCTTGTTTTGAAAATAAATGATATATTTGAATCTAAGAGAGGGAAGAAGCGGGTAAAGTTACATCCTTATACTGGAAAGGACGTACCCCCCTCAAAAGGTAAGAATTGTATTCGTTCTGTCTGTAACTCTGTGTGTGTGTGTGTGTGTGTGTGTGTGTGTGTGTGTGTGTATGTGTATTAGTTTGGCATTGCTATGACCAAAACATCTGACAGAAACAACTTAAGGCACAAAGATTTATTTTGGCTCATGATTTTAGAGGATTTCAGTCCATCATAGTGGAACAGGTCAGTTCATGGAGGTGGGAGCATGTGACAGACTAGGAAGCAGAGTGCAAGGAAGAACCAGGGGCTGGAGTAACCTTTAAAGCACCCCTTCTGTCGACTCACCTCCTAAAGGTTCCATAGCTCCCCCCAAATAGTGCTAACAGCTGGGGAACAAGCATTCAAAACATGAGCCTGTGGGGGTATTTTAGATTCATAACATAACAGCATGTGAAGGGAGGGTCACTTACTTAATGTTTGATGAGACAGGGTCTTACTCTGTAGTCCAAGTTGGCCTGGAACACACTATGTATCCCAGGCTGGGCATGAATTTATGGTAATCCTCCTGCTTCAACCATCCAACTTCAGGGATTACAGGCATGAGTCACCACACTCAGCTCTTCTAGGATCATTTTTGAAATTCCTTTTATTTCTGTACAAAGTAATACATGTTATGTGAATAAATAAAATTTATAAAACAATTGCAAGCCAGTGAGACCAAATTTCATAGACAGTCTGAATCAGTTTTTTGTGATGCTACTTTGATTTTTTTTTGTTGTTGTTATTCCTATTTTGAGACAGGGTTTTGCTATATAGCCTATACTGATCTGGAACCTACAACTGTCCTGCCTCAGCCTCCTGGGTGCTGGGGTACAGATATTCACCACCATGCTCAGCTACTTGCTTTGATTTAGTCATTTATCAGTATAGACTGTTCTGGTAGAAAATGAAAACATCAGCTGTAGATAATTGTAGCTGTGTGGTACTCATCTCTGGAGTTCAGTAGTTTTATCCTACAGGTGCCTAGATAAAATATAGACTGGCTTAATTAATTAAGAAACATTTCGTATTCAAAAGAAATCATTAGTATTTTCCTAAAAACTCATTTGAGTAGGGCTGCGTAAGGTGGTGCACATTGGTAACCCTAGCACTCAGAAGGCTGAGGCAGGAAGATTGCAAGGTCCAGGCCAGCCCAGCTATATAGAGAGAATCTCTCAGAAACAAAAAACAAACAAGCTCATGTGGCCCTAGGGATTTAGTCTAGGGTAAAGCTCTTGCTTTGCATGTGTGAGGTCATGGGGTTCAGTCCCCAGCACTATAAAACAAAACAACCCCATAAGATTCTTAGCTTGGTAGTCTGAAAAAAAAATGTAGAATTTAGAAGTTCAGATTTTGCTTATAAAGTTCATAGATGAGAAATCCTTGTAGGCCTTGAACTCACAGAGATCCACCTGCCTCTGCCACCTGAGTGCTGGGATTAAAAGTTTGTACTGCCATGCCCGGCAAGGAATAGCTCTTCAAGGCCAGCCTGGTCTACATTGTGAGTTCCAGGACAGCTGGGCCTACAGGGAGACCCTGTCTCAAAAAGACCCCCCCCCCAAATTTTTTTTTTAATTTTATGTGTATGAATGTTATGCCTGCATGTAGGTAAGTGCACCTGTGCCCTGCAGTGCCTTCAGAGGACAGAAGAGGCTGTTGGATCCCCTGGAACTGGAGTTATGACAGCTGTTAGCTGCCATGTGGTGCTGGGATTTCAACCCAGGTCTTCTGCAAGAACAGTGTTCTTAACTGCTGAGCCATCTCTCCAGCCTCTTAAAGCACCCCTTTCTGTTGACCCACCTCCTAAAGGTTCCACAGCTCCCCCCAAATAGCGCTAACAGCTGGGGAATAATCATTCAAAACATGAGCCTGTGGGGGTATTTTAGATTCATAACATAACAGCATTTGAAGGGAGGGTCACTTACTTAATGTTTGATGAGACAGGGTCTTACTCTGTAGTCCAAGTTGGCCTGGGACACACTATGTATGTATGTATCTTCAACTTTGTCATTATAATTTTGTGTGTTGAAATATTAGGAAATAACCCAGTGACTTTTTTTTTCCTGTAGATTAAAATTGATTCTTAATCCCTTTAAACTTCACTCAACTATGAGGACTGCAGGTCACCAAAGCTCATAGGTGTCGATATGTACTGAAAGTCACTTAAATGACCTTTCATAAGGCCATTTCCAGTTGTTTTGCCTTTTTCCTTTCCCCATTTTTCTGTCTAAACATATACTTCATAAGCTCCTAAGAAGTACTTGGTGTTAGGATATAAATATTTTTTCTATACAAATAGTCTTATATTATTCAGACTTTGCATGTTTTCCTTTTTAAAAGGCTTAATGCATTTTGAAGCTCTTTATTATGAAACATAGAGATCCTCATAGCTATACTGCATTTCATTGCATAGAAAAGAATTTTATTGAGACTGATTATGCTACTCATTGAGATCCTCATTTCTATCCCAGCACCTCAATTTTTTAAATTTAGTTTTCAGATATTTCTGTTTCTAACATTTTATCTGTAGAAATGCTATGTGTTGATTGATATATATCAAGATGTATGTATACACTCAAATAATATTGCAGTATGCATTCTTTTACTTATATTTTATGTGTTTGTAAGAATATATCTGTGGGGCTGGAGAGGTGGCTCAGCAGTTAAGAGCAATGACTACTCTTGCAAAGGACCCGGGTTTGATTCCTAGTACCCACATAATAGCTAACAACTGTCCATAAATCCAGTTCCAGGGGGTCCAACGCCTTCTTCTGACCTCTGTGGGCATTGCATGGCACATGTGCACTTACACACATTCAGGCAATACATTCACATATATAAAATAATAAATAAAACACTTTTTAAAAAAATATATCTGTAAAGTAGTATCTGTAAAATAAGTTCCCCTTATAGTAGATGTACTGATCAAAGAATATATGGATTTTAAATTGTTTAGGCTTGATGGCTCATTCCTGTAAATACCAGCACTTGAGAGATGGCGGCAATAGTAAGATTACTGTGAATTTAAAGCCACCCTGGGTTACATAGTAAATTCCAGGACAATCTGTGCTACAGAGTGAGAGCTTAGCTCAAAAAAAACAAAAAAAACCAAAAAAACTAAAATTCAAATTTTTGTAGCTACTGCCAAATTGTCATACAAACAGAAAATATGCCTTAAGTATATTTATAAATATTTTCCCAGTTTATTGTCCACCTTTTGAGTTTACTAGTGAGGTTTTTTTATTAGATAAAAATATTCAATTTTTTTCTGATGTTTGAGACAGGTGTTGTGTAGCCCAGGCTAACCCGGAACTCACTATGGCTAGCTGTAACTAGCCTTGAACCCTAATTCTCCTGCCCCAGCCTCCTGAGTACTAGGATTGCAGGTGTAGCTACTACCACACCTAGCTAAATTTTAAAATGTTATATGATTGCCGCCTTTAATCCCAGTACTCGGGAGGCAGAGGCAGAAAGATCTCTGTGAATTCGAGACTAGTCTGTTCTTCATAGCAAGTTCCAGGCCAGCTAGGGCTACAGGGAAGCCCTGTCTCAAAAAAATACAATACAATACAATACAATACAATACTTTGTAAAATGGAGATTTCAGCAATTCGGTGATAAGGCTGTACGTTTGTGGAAGAAAACATTGGTCATGGCAAATATTTCTGTTTTGTGGCTTCTGGGAAAATAGAGAATAAGAGTTAGAATGTTGAAAGGCTGAAAAGGAAAGGCAAGAAAAAGAATAACGACCAAAAAATAAAATAAAATAATAATATAAAGAAAGAAGATAAAATAATATACAATACAATACAATACAATACAATACAATACAATACAATACAATAAAATTAAAAAAAATAAAATGTTATATGATCAAACTTACATATGTCTTTATTTATGAATGCCAGACTCTTGTTTTTCCTGATATATTTAAAGATTTTTCTCTTCCTTTTCATTTTTTAGTTTGCTTTAACTTTAGACTTAATCTAGAACAGTTTTTAATATACTTATTCAAAAATCCCTTTTGTGTGATTCTGAGGATCAATTTTAGGACTTCACACATACCATATAACTGCTCTACCTCTACTACTAAGTCTCTAGCCCCCCCCCAACTTTTGGTAAATTGTATTTCCAGAATTATATTAACAAACCCTCTTTTGATGATCAGGGTGCAAAACCCCAGGGTTCAATCCTCTGCACCAACACACACAAGAACCCCAACATTCCCCTGTGGAAAACATATAACCCCTATCTTTAAGGTACTTAAGATATTATTGGAGAAAATAAAAACAAATCAAAAGCTACTATATTACTACTACTTAAATTCGGAGCAAAGGAAAGATCAGTATGACCAGAGGTGGTCGGAAGCATCGTAGCAAAGGTAGTATGTCACTTCATAAACATGGCAATCTCTTATAGTGTCCACATTTTCATTATTCTGATCCATGGTGTTCACGTTTTCACCTTGTTGTACTATGTTAGCACTTTATGTGGGAACAGACAGATGGCGATTTGAATGAAAAGCAGAATCTACTCTGAACTAGGCTTCTTCTGGTTATGTTGAAGGCTGGCTAATCCTGTAAGTAAGGATAAGAGGCCTGAGGAGTGTGTGGAAAGAATGGATAGTTGAGATTCTTCTCAGAGCCTTTTACAGTAGTCCCTCCTTGTCAGTGTGTGGGTCAGTTTCTGTAGCTCTAGTTATCTGTGGTCAATTGGGATTTGAAGCTATTAAATGGAAAATTCCAGAAAAACATTCAGAAGCTTTAGGTTGGGCAGTGTTGTAAGTAGCACAGTGAAACCTCAGTCTGTCGTGCCCCTTCTTGCCCAGGATGTGAATCAGCCCCTTGTCCAGCTCTCTACTCTTGTCTACCACCCACCCATTAATAGTCACCTAGGTTATCAGGTCAGCTCTCACTGAATCATAGTGCTTATGTTCAAGCAGTCCTTACGTAGTAGCCTCATGAGCCCCAGTGCCTTTGACATTCACTCACTCCGTCTCATCACATAGGCACGGATCACATGCCACCACAAGAAGTAGGGTGTGTGTGGTACATTAAAGTATTTTGAATGGCTTATTATTGCAGTATTTTATGATAATTGATGATTTTAACATTAGTTATTGTTAATTTCCTACTATGTTTAATTTATAAATCATCTCAGGAGTTCGTGTGTATAGAACATAATACACGGAGGGTTCAATACTGTCTGTCAGATCCTTTACAGATGAGGATCTTGTGTTGTGTTGAATTCTCTTTAACAGCTGTCCTAAACTGACATGTACTAAGGAGTTTGGAGAAGGGCCCAGGATCCTTACTCCTCACTGCAGTGTCCGGGCCTGTGGAGGTTTTATATATTGCTGTCACCCTCATGCACTTCCCACTATTGGACAATACAAACGGAAGCCCTTCCTCTCTTTTCAGGCGAAACCAGTGGGAACGAGAGTGATGCCGAGTATCTGCCAAAGAGTGAGTGAGTCAACGGGGCTGCTCCCTTTCTCCGTGTGATCCTGACTGGGTGGAGTGCCCCTTTGTGTGATTAAGCACTCTTTCCCCATGTGAAGTTTCACTTTGTAGGCCGTTTCTTCATTTTCAGACCCTGTTGAGATTTGAGGAGCTAAATAGTGCATTCAGCTATTTGACAACATTAAAGATCTCTCATAGTGGAGTGAGGCAACCCGGGATGACTGAGGATGGAATGTTCTGACAGGAGCAGTGCAGAAGTGCATGCCCAGACATATGTGCAGTTTTGTAGCAGCCAATAAGAATGTGAATCACTCTTAGATGAGCACTTAGCCCTAAATATCTGATTTTTTGTAGTAATTCAAGCATAATTACTGAGTGAATTTACTATCTCTGATATTAAGAAAGGAAACGTATTTTTTACTTATAGGTACTTACATTCCAAATTATCATGCCATTTATATTAGAATACAGAATTCATACATTTCTGGCTCTGTTTTTTACAAGCATTTCATGGTGCTCTGTGTCTTCCTTGGATGAGTTGTCACAGCAAGTTTTATTTCCTGTTTAACTGCCTGACACACAGAGACACAGTGAGCAGAAGACATGAGTTCTCAAAGTTGAGTTGAGGGCAGTTCTGACATACCAGTCTAATGATTAACAGCCATGTGTTCCCTCCACGGACCTAAACTGCTTCAGGTTTTCAATTTTGTAGCCTATCTGAAGATGACACTTAGAATGCCACAAGGTTCAGTTTTGGTGTGTAAGGATGACTGACTTATTACTGTTGCTGGTGAGAAATAGGACAAGATGTGTCTTGATTTGAACTCAGCCCTTTGGAGGGAAGGGAAATCTTTCCCTAGAACACTTGGCAAAGTGTATATTTCTAGGGATCTGATCCTGGTTGTATTTTTTAAAGATTTATCAATATTTTGATACATAGTGCAACTTATTTTGAGAGCAGAAAGCATTAAACTGAAAAAAAAAAAAAAACCCAGATGATGAGTGTTTTGGTTAGTATCTAGAATATCTCATCAGCAAATTTCTGAAACACATACACTTTTACCACCAGTGGAGACTACCACAAATTCTTCAAAATTTAGAGGGAAATGAGAATAGAGAGCTAGATGTGGCTGCATACACTTGTAATCCCAGCTCTCAGGAGGCTGATACAGGATTGCCAGAAATCCAAGGCTAGCCTGGGCTGCATAGTGAATAGGATAGCCAAGGTTACATAGTAGGACTCTGCCTTCAAAAAAACCAGAGAGAGGGCATGGGAATGAATGAGTATGAATGTGGGTGAGAATGAGAATTACTAGGAGGTAGATGCTATCCAGTTCTGAGTGCTGCTGAATACTATCTAAACAGCAAGCTTCCTACCACTCTGGTAGCCCGTGTCTGTAGTCCAACAACTAAGGAGGCTGAGATAGGAGGATCATAAGTTTGAGACCAGCCTGGACTACATACTGAGACTTGGTGTTAAAACAACCAATAACTAAATAGCACAATCTTATAATTTTAGTCTTTTGAGGTATAGTCTGTTGCTGATGTCCTCTATAGTTTCTTCTTTCTTTTTCCATTGCTGGGAATCTAACCTAGCATCCTGAGCATGTTAGGTAAGAACTACCTCTGAACTACACCCTTAGTCCCATTTTCCTCTGGGATTTAGCACCATTTATTTATTAATTCTTTTTATTAACATATATTAATTGTACAGTGTAAGGAGTTTCATTGTGACATCTCCATGCATGCATGTAATTACTTTGACCACTCCTGCTCATCTTTATGTCCACCCTTTCCCTTTCCACACCCTAGCACTTGCCCTTTTAGTTTCATGCCCTTGTCCCCCTCTATCTTTTACATGAGAGAAAACATGGGTTCTTTGTTTTTGTGAGACACATGTATCTCACCTAATATAATGGTCTCCAGTTCCATGCTTTTTCCTGCAAATGACATAATTTCATTCCTCTTTATGGTTGTGAAGTCATATTCACTTCTGGAAGGTGCATGAGGTATCTGGTTCCCTCCTCCCACTGTCCTTATGACAACCCGAGGCAAGAATTCTCCAAAACTACCCTTTGGAAAATCCTAACAAGTTTATTGGACTTGTTAACTGAGCTTGGGGTGCTGGTGTACTTACAGAAGAGTGGGTGTCTCCCCACCCCCCCATTCATGGCTGTGCTGGAAAGTCCACACCCAAACATAAATCCTGTGGCTTCCTGATAGCCACACAAAATGGCTAGAGACCTGCCTCGTGGCTTTCTCGGCTTATATATCCTTAGCCCTTCCCCTTCGTGCAGACTCCTCCCACAGAACATGGGAAGGAGGTGGGACTATAGCTTGCCATCATAGTGGTCAGAGGAACTTCCAGGTTACAATGTTGAGTCCATTTGGAATTGGTTTTTATAGAGGATGAGGGATAGGGGTTGAGTTTCAGTCTTTTGCATGTGATGGATATCCAGTTTTCAGCTTTACTTATGAAAGAGGCTGTCCTTTTCCAATGTATATTTTTAAAAGTTCCTCTGTTAAGACTCAGATGCTTGTGGCTGCTTGGCTTTATTTCTGTATCTTCATTTGTCTGTATGTCTGGTTTGAAACACCATTATTGATGTAAGTCTATGTCCTTAGTAATGCATACTAAGGAGAGAAGGGAAAAGGACAGCTTCTTTAGTGTGAGGATGACTTGTTTTGATTTCATCACTCATCTGTAACTGTACTTCATCACTGTAGGAATCAGTTCTTTTATCAAATCCTCCCCTCTTCCATGTTTCTTGATGTTTCCAAGGAGTAGCATTTTTTATCAGTCTACTGTTTCTTTTAGCATAGAGTGTGTTATCTATGTTAGTGTATCAGTTAGGTCATGGATATCAGTTCCACTGCTCACTAGAGGTTGAGTGGGATCCCTGCCCTGAATGTGTCTTAGCCCACTCTGGAATGTTTGTGTGGCAGATGTTTATTTGCATTCATTTAGCAAATGACAGTGAAGAATTTGTCCTATATGGGTCATGACTCATGGGCCTAGAGGGAAGATGGGGCTGCAAAGGGAAAACCTTGTTGCATTGTGAGCTGTAATTCTGTAACAGATCGCCACAAGCGCTTAGCACAGGTGCAGCAGTCTTCCAAGAGGAATCCTCACTACCAGACCTTGGAGCGAGATCTTATTGAACTGCAGGAGCAGCAGCTCTTTGAACTCTTTGTGGTGGTGTCTCTACAGAAGAAGCCATCAGGAATAAGCTACATTCCCCAAGTCATACAGCAGTTCCCAAGCAAGGTGGGTGTGAGGCAGCCAAGAAGCCTTCAGAAGGCTCTGTGTGTTCTGTGTACATATTTCCTTCCTACTGTTGTCTCTGTCAGCTTTTATCAACATTATACTTGTAGGATCCAGGAAGTGGCTTTGATGGCATCTATGTCAGGCATAGGCTGCAGCCAAATAGAGGTGGGAGAGAACAAGCTCATTTCCTGCCTCATGTTTTTCCTTTTTGTCTTTACTGTTCAATAATTTGTTGTCAGGGCATGGTGGCACACACCTTTAATCCCAGAACTTGGGAGGCAAAGGCAGGCTGATCTCTGTGAGTTCAAGGCCAGCCTGGTCTACATAGCGAGTTCCAGGCCAGCTGGTCTATATAGTGAGTTCTAGGCCAGCTGTGAAACCCTGTCTCAAAAAAAGACCAAAAAACTTTTTGTCTTTGGAGACAGGGTCTAACTATGTAGCCTTGACTGACTTGGAGCTCATTATGTAGACCAGGCTGGCCTCAAACTCAAAAGATTGGCTCTTGAGTGCTAGAATTAAAGGCTTGTAACACCATGCCCAGTTCACATTTAATGATTTTGTAACAAGCACAAAGCCACAATTTTCTCATCCCTAAACAGGAAGGATAAATGTGGCAGAATAGGCTAGAGGTTTACAGCATGGCCTCTGAGCCAAACCTAGGCATCTGCCACTTACTAGTACTTTGAGAAGTCACTTAACATTTTTGGGCCTTAGTTTCTTCATTTATTAATGGATGGGAGGCAGTTAGTAATAATAGCATCTACCCCTTTGACCTGTAGTAAAGTTTAAATGAGCTAATTTCCATAAGGCTCTTAGAACATTGCCTGGCATATTTTATGTTTGTGAGTGTATTGCTGCATATATGTCAGTACACCCATGCCCTGCAGTGCCTGAGGATGCCAGAAGAGGGCGTCAGATCTCCTGGAACTGGAGGTATGGATGGATGGTTGTTAGCTACTATGTGGGTGCTAGGAACTGAACCTGGGTCTTCTTCAAGAGCAACCAGGGCTCTTAAGCACTGAGATATCTCTCTGGCCACCTTTTTTGTTTTGAGACAGTATTTTACCCAAGTTGGCATTGAACTGGACATTCTCCTTCCTCAGTCTCCCAAGCATTCAGAGCGGCAAAGCTCGGTTTTGGTGTTACTAACACAGTATTTGCTTTGCTCTACCTTTTTCACAAAGCCACTCTTTCATTTAATTAAATATTACAGTGTTTGCTACTTGTTGGTCTATACTTGATCCCCAGCATCCTTGAACCCTGAGGAGTGTGACATATAAAACCCCACTGCAGGTTCAGAGACCACACATAAAAGAAAAAAAAAATGCTTTTTAATTTTTATTTATTTAATTTTGTGATTTTTTTTTTGTCTGTTTTCTTTTATTGGACTGTTTTGAGACAAAAGTCAGTTTTCTCCTTCCACTATTTGGGTTCCAAGGAACAAACTTATGTCACTAGTCTTGGCAACAAGCACCATGGCCTGTAGAGCAGAGCTACCTCATTGGCTTCCTGAATTTATTTTTATTTCTTATCTAATTTTTCCTACTCATTGAACAAGGGATCTCCCACTTTCATTTTTCCCTACTCCCTGTGACTTAGGTAGACAGCCAGGTAAGGAGGGGCTGTCTATGTGAGAACATTGTCTTACTTCCCATTTTATTACTTGTACCACATCTCTTGGTTTTTTGAGACAAGGTCATTAATTTACCAACTTACTCACTTTAGGACTTTGGATTTGAACCCTGAATTCCATGTTTCACCAAAACAATCAGTGAAGCAAACTATACTGGAATCTAAGATCTACGTCCTTCATAGGTTTTATTTTTCAAAAATATTCCCAATATAGGCAGGTGTAGGGACATGCCTATAATCCAAGCACTTAGGTGACAGAGGCAGGAGCATCAAGAGTTTGAGACCAGCCTTTGCTGATAGCAAGACTGTTCTCAAGAAAGAAGCCCTCAACAACATCCCTACAGTAAATAATTACATAAATTAGATATCATTTACAATTCCTCAGTGTAGCCTAAGAGCACAATATCTCAACATCGTGTAGTAAAATAATACTATGGTAGTCTAATTATCATCTAAATACCTGTGAATAATCAAATTTCCTATCAAAAGGAACTTACACTGTAGTCTAGGTTAGCCTGGAACTGCCTAAGTAGCTCAGGCTGGTGCTGAACTCATGACCCTCCTGCCTCAGCCTTCTGAGTGTTAGAATTATAGGCATGTGCCACCATGCCTGACTTAAAAGGAGCTTAAGCCTCCTCTCTCCCTATTTTTATTAGTTTTACAGGAAAACTAAGCCTGGATTAATACACTTAGTACCAGAGAAACACACAATTTCTGGCAGTTGATTGAGGGATGCTTTCAAGGAAACCACTTAGTAGTTTTATGCCTCTAGTGTCCATCATGGGGTGCGGGGCAGGGGTTGGAAAGAGCTAATCTTTGTGGAGCCCTTTTTGGATTGTTGTGCAATACCTTGACTGAAGCTGACTATGACTACACCATGTTACAACTAAAAAAGTTTGGTGTTTTTTTGTTTGTTTGTTTTTTCCAATGATGGGGATTAAACCCAGGGCCTTCTGCATGCTAGGAAAGTGCTCTGTTATTGAGCTAAGCTCCAAGTACCTAATGCTTTTCTGTTCTTTTGAGAATTTAATATCCAAGGACCCAGAGTGGTTACATTCTTTGTAAAGAAAGTACAAGTAACTTATTTATTCCCTAAAAGCAGTATGCTAATTTGACTTCTATGCTTGTCTTTGTAGAAGATAGTCAAATGCATTTCTAAATGTCTTTTCACTTAACTAAATGTAGACTGTCTTTCAAAGTACAAGACTACATTTTGTCTGTTTGATTTTTGTAGCCCAGGCTGGACTTGAACTCTCTATATAGCCAAAGATAACTTGAATTCCTGATCCTCCTGCCTCTATTTCCTAAATGCTGAGATTATAGGTGTGCAGAACTATGCCTGGCTTACAATAACACACTTTTTGTAAGAGTCTTCCATACTAAAATTTTACAGGAAATTGCAAACCAGTAATTAGGTAGCAAAGATTATATGCTAACAGAATGATTATATACAGGGTAAATCTTAAAAATAGTATCTTTTCTAAATAACATTCATTGGTCTTTTCAAAGTATCCTTGACTTTTTTTTTTTTTTGAGACGGGGGTCTCTCTGTAGCCCCAGCTGGCCTGTAACTTGCTATGTAGACCAGCCTGGTCTCTGTCTCACAGAGATCTTCTTGCTTCTGTTTCCAAAGTGCTGGGATTAAAGGCATGTGCCACCATGCCTGGTGTGTCCTTGATTATTGATCAGAGAATGTTTTGAAATGACTAGGTTTTGGCTGTCAGTATGATAAAATAGATTTTTACTTAGCTTATATCCCATGACTCAGAAAATATTAGATTCATACCAGTATGTGAACCCTGAATTGGGATCTTCCTGTAGACGAGAAACTCTGCAGCCCCCTCTCTTACGCTAGATGATAGGGTCTCTGCAGTTGCATTTCTGTGTAAAAGAGGACTTTTTATTCTTAGTAACTGTTCTCAGTGCATCGTCAGTAATTTTCAGTCTTCCTTTTCCTGTTTTGTTAATACACTGAGAGTAACTTCTGTCCAGGCTTCTCAGACTTCCCCAGGACCAGGCTGAGATTTTCACTTCTGTTCTCTACTTTACTAGGTTAATGTCCCCTGTAATGTTGTCTTTTTCAGGGTGATCATGGCTATAAGCAATCCAAAGACACTGAAGAGAGGCTCAAAGTGATCCCCAAATTTTGTTTTCCTGATTCAAAGGACTGGGTGCCAACCTCAGAACTCAAAAGGTAAATAGGGTACTGCTTCTGATTGCTGTTTGCTGGAACTGCAAAAATAGAATCAAAGTATCTGAGAGAGGAGTAGAGTCAGGAAGAGAGCTCTGTGAACACTGGGGTCAATGATGCAATGGAGGAAGGGAGGAATAAGAATTAGAACATTTCCTACCTATGTAGGGCTCAGAAAAGAAAAACAGAATAATTGCAATGTCAAAGAGAAAACAACTTTGGGAATCTCTTTAATTTGCCAGTTCTTGAGAAAAAGATAGTTCTACAGTACAAACAATAAGACGTGGCCCAAAGTGGACAGAAAAGGAAACACACATACACAAAACCAACTTGAACCTTAGGACTCAAACTTAGAGAGAAAGCAGAACAGTTGCCCTCATCTTTTTTCCTTGAAATTGATAGAAGAACCCATAGGGACTCTGTGTCCCATGTGGGTCTTGTACAGAGGGAGGCTCCAGTTTGGGAAGTTTGGGTAATTGAAGCATCAAAGAATTTCTTGGAGCTGAGAGATGGCTCAGTGGTTTCATCCCAGCACTTGGGAGGCAGAAGCAGGCAGATCTCTGTAAGATTGAGGCCAGCCTGGTCCAAATGGTAAGTTCTAGGCCTACTGGGGCTACAAGGAGACCCTGTCTCAAAAAGACCAAAAAAATTAATAATGATATTAAAAATAATTTATTTAATGTATCTAGAGGAAATTACCAATTTCAGCTAATAAAATCACCATCATCTCTGAATCTTGCGTCTATAAATAGGTAACTACTTTGTTTGAACCCATAAGCTGGGCAAAATAACATATGCCTGTTCTCCCAGCTACACAGAGGCCCTGAGACTGGAAGATCACTTGAGCCCAAGAGTTCAAGGCAAACCTAGGCAACATATTGAAATTTTCTGTAAAGAATTAAACAAATGGGGCTGGAGAGATGGCTCAGCAGTTAAGAACACTGGTTGTTCTTGCAGAAGACCCGGGTTCGAATCCCAGCACCTACATGGCAGCTAACAGCTGTCTGTAACTCCAGTTCTAGGGTATCCGACAGCCTCTTCTGTCCTCTGCGGGCATTACACGACATGGGTACATGCATACACATAAAATAAAAATAATAAAATTTAAAAAAAAGAATAAAACAATTTGCAAGACCCACTGAATTTTATTAGGCTATTTAAACTAAAAAGCATATTTAAGTGAACCATGTAATGTGTTGATGATGGTCTCAGCTGCTGCCTAAGTAGCCCTGTCTTGCCTCTAGACCAGCTGCTGGCTCCCATAACAGTTTAGCCTGATCACCACTCTCCATCTCTCAGCATCAGTGTTGATGCTCCTGTGTTGTCACTTGCACTGCTAACTATGTGTGTATACAGTTTTTTCATACTAGCCTGGCTGCTCCATGGTTGATCACTTACCCCCTACATTATGTATGTTCTAGACTATTTGGGAAATATAGAAGAGTAAATACATAGCTGAAATCAGAAATCATTGGCAATCTGCTGGCTCAGAAATAATAACTGTATATTCTAACATAGTCCTTTCTAATCATTATTTTTGCCATATTTAAATATTAATTCATTATTTGAATTTGAGATTTTTTTGGCTATTAGTGAATATCTTTTGGGTATCTTTGGATCTTTGTGTAAATTATGCTCATTGTTGTCCCACGTTTCTAATGAGTTGTTATTTTCCTATTGATTTGTATATATTAAGGATAGAATCTATTTTTCTATCTTTCTATGTGTTTGTGTGTCCATATGTGTATGAGCATGCATGTGCCATTGTGCACCTGTGGGGGTCAAAGGACAACCTTGGGTATTGGTCCTCGCCTTCTTTGTTTGAGACAGGGTCTCTTGTTTGCTGCATACATCAAGCTAGCTGGCCTGTGAACTTCCAAGGCTCACTCGTCTCTGCCTACCTTCTCATTGTAGGCCCATGCTACTGTGTCCAGCTTTGCATAGCTTCTGGGGATCTGTACTCAGGTCCTCATACTCGTGTGGCAAGCACTTTACACACTGAGCCATCTCCCCAGCCCAGGATATTTTTCTATCACTGTTCTTTATGTATCACCGTCAGAACAGAATAGAAGAATTTGCAAGGGAGAAATAGAACTTTCAAGGGAGAAATGACATTTACATAATCTTTATAGCTTCCTTATCTGTATATTTGACAAAATTAGACATTGAGCAAAAGGAAAATAGGATTGATCGATAAGTAGAGAGAATTAATAAGAAAGTAAAGTGAGCAGCAATGCCAACATCTTAGCTCATACCTACTCACCCTAGAACAAGGCCTGGCCATTCCATAGGAGGAATGTGACTTCAAGTAGAGGTAATGTTTCTGCCTCCTCCTAGATCACAAAATGACTGTTCTTGTACCCTACTGTTATTGTTTGTTCCGTGAGGAATGCTGTAAGCAGTTGTTGAACCTAAAAATAACTGAGCTGTTTTTTCAGTGAAACATTCTCCTTTGTGTTGACTGGTGAAGATGGAAGTCGATGGTTTGGTTACTGTAAGAAGCTTTTGGTAAGTACCAGCTTCATGCCACAGAGTTAAGGAACAGCAGAGTCAGACTAGGAGCTTCAAGAAGCACTATATCTAGATGAATTTTAGGGCCACTTAATTTTACATATGTATTAAAGAACTGTGTTAGCTTTACATAGCAAGAGCAAGGTGAAGGTTACCCCTAGAGTGGTCCAGAATAGAAAGGCTGTGGATTTTATTTGTTTCTTTGTAATAGAGAAAGTAACTACAGACATAGTGACTGAATATCAGTACAGGCACATTTGAAGAATAGAGTCCAGTGAGCCTTTGAGGAAGCTCTGAGTTACCAGCTATTTTAGGGCTTCCTTGTTTAGGCACTATACCTGGAATAAATCATGCTATCCATTTTAGTGCTTCTCTCACCTTTGAATGTTCACTGAGGATGAGTGCCTCATATAATGCTCTATACTAAACAATACTGAAAGAAGCTGGTGTGTTGGTGCACATCTGTAGTCCCAGCTACTTTGAGTGTCTGAGGCAAAGGCATTGCTTGAGCCCAGAGAATTGGGGCAAGTGTGAGCAACCATCGCGGGGACCTATCACAAAAATAAATCAATAAGTAAAAGAAGAATATTAATAGTTCAGATGAATAAATACCTTTTCTTCTTGTTTTTGTTTTGTTTTCCTTCTAGCCTGAAGGCAAGGGAAAGCGACTCCCTGAGGTCTACTGCATGGTCAGCCGCTTGGGCTGCTTCAATCTTTTCTCAAAGGTGAGTGAAGAACTGGCTCTGTGAATCAGTGATACTCCTTCTGAACTTTGAGGGAGTTTTTACTACTGGTGACTTCCCTGGACGATATTAAGTGGCACAGACTTTAACATGCTACTTTAGAAAGGTTCACCACTAGTAGGTTAAGAACGGCAAAATGGTTCAATGGGTAAAGGCATTCTCAATCAAGCCTTATGACCTGAATTTGATTCCTGGAACCCACATGGCAGAAAGAGAGAAACGACTCCTTCAAGCTGTCCTCTGGCCTACAGGTACATGCCATGGCTGTGAAGGCAAACACACATACAAATAGATGCATAAAATAAATAAATCCAAAAAAAAAAAAAAAAGGAAAAGGAAAGATCCACAGGCTTAAATAAGGCTTGAGCATAGATCCTGGCTCATTGGTGCCATTCTCTTTCTGGTTTGCTGAAACTCCCAGTTTTAGGAGTGCATATCCTGAAGTGTATTTTGTCTCTTGCTTTTCCTAGACCCCAACTTGCAGGATATCATTGTCAGTGTCACTTTCTTTGCCCCTTAGTGAAATGGAAAGGGTTTCTAGGGGGCAGTGACATGGCTTTTGCCACCAAGCCTGAAGATCTGAGTTTGATCCCGGGACCCACATGGAGTAAGGAGACTGACTCCTGAAAGTTGCTGCTTCTGACTTCGGCACTGTTCTGTGGCAAAATGTAAAAGTAAAAATGTTTGTTAAAGAAGGAGCTGGTCTCTAAAAATAAGTTGACTTGCATAACTTTTCTTGGGAGTATGAAGATATCCTCAAGAGATATGATGCTTTAATGAACTTTTATTGGTTGCAGAAGCTTATCTGTCTTAAATCTATTGCTGATATTTTTAATTGTGCATAAATACTCAGTTTGGCAGTTCCTATAGTAGGATTGATTGATTGGTTTCTTTTTGAGACAGGGTCTCCCTGTAGTCACAGCTGGTTTGGAACTCACTATGTAGACCAGGCTGGCCTTGATCTCACATAGATCCACCTGCCTCTGCCTCCCAAGTGCAGATTAAATGCAAGTGGGATTAAAGACTTGTGCCACTATGGCTGCCTCTCCTTTATGTTTTTGAACTGAGGCCTTAATACATGACTGGGGTTTGGTTTTGTTTGGTGTGTGTGTAGATTCTGGATGAAGTAGAGAAGAGAAGAGAGATGTCTCCAGCTCTTGTTTACCCATTCATGCGAAGTGTCATGGAAGCCCCTTTCCCAGCTCCTGGACGCACTATCACAGTTAAGAGCTACCTCCCTGGGGCTGGAGATGGGGTAAGTTAACTCGTTTTCAAAAAGGTTTAATAGCCACCTAAAAGCTAGCTTTGTGCTATAGGCAGAATTTCCAGAAGCCCATGGGGTAGGGAGGAGGAGTTTTACCTTTCTTGTAGCCTGTGAATAAGTTTTATTCCCATGAAGCACTGAAGTGAGTGTGTGAAATTGTATGAGAGTGAGTGTGCGAGTGTGTGAAATTGTTGATCCTCAGCCCAAGCTTTTCTCCCATATACAGACTGGACCTCTCTGTAGTTACAATCTCAATATGACAAATGACAATTATACATATTATCAAATTGAATGATTTTTACTAGAATTTACAACATAAAATGAGCTGGTAAGGCCTTGGGATTAGTGTAGGCAGCTTTATAAGCTCTTTGCAGCAGACCTTTCTCAGACCAATAAAAGAATGGGAGGCTGTTAGTGTGGTTGTCCAGGCTACTTTCCAGTATCAGCACTTCTGATTCACAATCCTGCATTTCAGTCAATTGAACTCTGCCGACCACTTGATTCACGACTGGAACACGTGGATTTTGAATGTCTTTTCAAGTGCCTGAGTGTGTGTCATCTTATCCGGGTCTGTGCTTCTCTACTTTTGGAGCGGAGGATAATCTTTGTTGCCAACAGCCTAAGGTAAGAAATAAGTGGAATGCATTACTTCATACTATTTTAGAACAAGGGTATACTAAGAGATTGGAGCAACCTAAGTGCCCCTCAACTGACTAGTGGTTAACAAAAATGTGGTATATTTACACAATGGAGTTCTATTCATTAGTTAAAAAAAAAAGATCAAATAATGAAATGTGCAGGTAAATGGATGGATCTAGAAACTATTATACTAAGTGAAGTAACAGACTCAGAAAAACAAAAGATGTATGTCCTCCCTCATTTATGGATCCTACCACCAAATCCTTATTTTAAAAAGTATCTGTTACCACCAATTAAGGAGGTTCTTTTTCAAGTGATAGAGATAATTAGAGAGTTCCACAACTGGTCACACACAGAGATTTTCTGTGAATTGCCCAAGCCTAAGTGGCACATCTATGGTGCAACTTCTACACCTAAAGCTCACGGAACATAGAACAAGGGATGAAGAGAGCACTAATGCATCTTTCAATTCTCATCAATGATGCTCCCTCATGCAACAGAGGGCCAGGTAAGCAAAAGGTCACAAATGGCTAAAACGTGGAGAATAAGAGTCTGTGGGAGCTGGAGAGATGGCTAAGTGGTTAAGAACACTGGCCGTTCTTGTAGAAGACCTGGGTTTAAATCCAAGCACCCACATGGCAGCTAACAACTGTCTGTAACTCCAGTTCTAGGGTATCAGTCTCTTCTGTCCTCTGTGGGCATTGCACGACATGGGTGTACTTACCTACATGCAGGCAATACACACATACACATAAAGTAAAAATAAGTAAATTAAAAAAAAAGTCTGCAGAGTGTGGATCCTCGGACAGGATTCCTGTATCAAAATCCACCCACCTAGAGCTCAAGGACCATTGTAGAAGAGGGGCTGGAAAAATTGTAAGAGCCAGGGAGGTGTATGACCATATGGAAATAGTCCTACAGGCTCCTGGGATTCTTCTCATATGAACCTACAGCAATGGTGTCAGAGTGCACAAGACCCATGCAAACTCAAGCAGACAAAAACGCAGCACAGAACTGTGGAAATGAGCAGCAGGCCCCTGTCTTAGTCAAAGAATTATTGGCAGCCAATTACTGCAGGGTGAGGAAGAGCTGATCTTAAAAGGAGAGACTAGATCCCAGTGGATGAACTTGCACTGAGGGACATCTGGGGACACTAACTTTATATGATAGGCCTTAACTCAAATGACATGAACTTCAATTGCAGGGGAGGCTATGGGCAGGTGCCAAAGGGGAAGGAGGTCTAAAGATGATTTTCTGTATGAAATACACAAAAATTCAATAAAAATTTAAGAGAAAAACAAAGGCATATTAAAAATATCTAGACTAGTCTCTCAAGTACCCAGTCCTGTAGGAACATGACTAATTCCAAATGGTACTGTATAGCCCTTTACATTTGGTTATTACAGTGACTTTTTTGGGTGGTAATTGATTTCCTTTCTAAGTGCATGTTGCTTAAACTGTTGTCAAGTTGGTATTGCTAGCCAGGCTCAGTGGTTCACACCTGCAGTTCCAATTTCTTCAGGAGACCTGAGTCAGGAGGATCACTTGAGCCCAGGAGTTTAAGGCCAGCCTAGGCAACATAGTAAGACCACCCTGCCCCTGCAATCTTTTTTAAAATTTAAAATTCTTTATTTTTATTTTATGTGTACGAGTGTTTTGCCTGCATGTATATAAGTGCATCACATGCATGCAGTGCTTGAAGAGGCCAAAAGAGAGCATCAGATTCCCCTGGAACTGGAGTTAGAGGCAATTGTTAGCTACCATGTGGGTTCTTTGCAAGAGCAACTAGTGCTCTTAACAGCTGAACCATTTCTCCAACCCCAACCCCTGTCTCTTAAAGATATTTATAATGCTTTTGTGTGTCAGTGATTTTTAGCGTGATAAATTGTGGAGAAGACATTAAGATGAAACTGTAAACTAAAACATATTCACACAGTTAATTTGTGAAGTCTAACAAACATAAGTTTGTAGTTCTTTAACATATCTGATACCTTCTATGTATGACATCATGGGTTTTCTTCTCTGTCTAGCACCCTGTCAAAATGTGGCCATGCTGTGGTAGCTACCTTGTATCCATTCACCTGGCAACATACCTACATCCCAGTCCTGCCAGCATCCATGATTGACATTGTGTGCTCACCTACTCCATTCCTTATTGGAATCCTGTCCTGTTCCTTGCCACAGCTCCAGGATCTACCCATTGAAGAGGTTAGATGGCATAAATTGTACCCGTGGAAAATATTAGAGGAAACTAAGTGATCTTTGAAGAGTGGTAGAATTATTATGTAAGAATTGATAATTTGTTATACTGTCACATTTAATATCCTGTTACTAAAGTGAAAAAAATTCTGTGAGTCCAGAGCTGTCTTTACATTGATGAACAGTGGGCCCATTCTTAAGAGTAACACATACTCTTAAGGATAGGTTTTGGTGCGTGTGTGTGTGTGTGTGTGTGTGTGTGTGTGTGTGTGTATGTGTATACATGATGTATGTGTGTGGGCATGTATGCTATAGCACATGTATGGAGGTTGGTTTTCTCCTTCCGCATTTACATGGGTAACAAGGGTTGAGCTCAGGTTTCCAAGCTTGCATGGTACGCACCTTTATCGCTTAGCCATCTCACTGGTCCTTGTTTTCTTATTTTATGTGTGTGAATGTACTGCTTGCATATATGTAAGTGCACCCATGTCGTGCAATGCCTGTGGAGGTCAGAAGAGGGTGTTGGATGACCTGGAACTGGAGTTAGGATAGTTGTGAGCTGCCATGTGGGTGCTGGGAATCGAACCCGGGTCCTCTCCGAGAGCAACCAGTGCTCTTAACCGCTGAGCCATCTCTCCAGCCCCTCTTTTTTTTTTTTTTTTTAAGTCAAACACAAAATTTCTATGGGTTGACTGAAGAAAGTGTTTTAAATATAGCACGTATATGCTTATGTGTGTGTGTGTGCCATAAACAAAAAATACAGCTTGCCAGGCATGGTGGTGCATGCCATGCCTTTAATCCCAGCACTCGGGAGGCAGGGGCAGGCGGATCTCTGTGAGTTCAAGGCCAGCCTGGTCTACATAGTGAGTTCCAGGACAGCTGGGGCTACGGGGAGACCCTGTCTCAAAAAGACAAAAAAAAAAATACAGCTTAATGAATTATTGCCACAAAGTTAACATTTTTATAATGAAGCATTGGAATGGAATGGAACATTACAGGAGTCGTCATTCCCAGCACCTGGAAGGTCTTCGTTATAGCTCCTTCTAATCTCTTGGTTCATTCCTCATTCCCCACAAACAGGCACCACTGACTTGACTTTTATAGTATGCATTAACCTGTGCTTCTTCACAATTTCACCCTCTAAATATATATTTCTAAACAATGTGACTCTGGACTGGTGAGATGGCTCAATGGTAAAAGTGCTTGCTGCCATGCCTGATGACCTACCTGAATTCAGTCCCCAGAACCCACATGGTGGAAGGAGAGAACCAGTTCCTGCAAGTTGTCTTCTGCACACCATGGCTTTGTGCATCTAGGTGCGCACATACATATACACACACAATTTATTATTAATAATTAATTTTAAAATGTGAACAATGTAATTCAGGTTTGCTTGGGTTTAAAGCTTGATGTAAATGTAAAGTTTTGTCCAGTTTCTTTTTTTAACATGTAAGAGTAATCCATGTTGATTTAACAATATTGGAATCATTCTAATTATGTAGGATATTCCATTGTGTGAATGTACAATTTTCTTACCCCTTTGGCAGCTGAGCTGATGAACAGTTGAGCTGTCTCCAGCTTGAGGTTTTTATCAATAATCCTGCAGTAACTATTCCTATACATTACACTTGAGACACACATGCTTGCAACTCTATGGATATATACTCCAAAATTGAATTTCTGGGTCACATGGTAGGCATATCTTCAATTTTAGTAAATTAATCAAACTTTCTCAAAGCAGTTGTTCCAATCTAAACTTCTCCCAGCAGCACATGGGAGTAACTGTTGTTTCACATCACCACCAGCAGCCAGCAGCTTGTGCAATTTAGCCTCAGCTGGCTGGTGAGTATGTAGTGGTATTCTCATTGTAGTTTAATTTGCATTTCTTCATTGCTTTCGAGGTATATTAGCCATAGTATATCATTTTATAGAATTCTATCTTATTACAGACTTCTCATCCTTGACTTGTAAGATGCCCTTTTTTGTTGTTTTTTGATGATGCTGTGTATCAAACCAGGGTCTGACATATCTAGGTGAATGCTCTACTGCTGAGCTACACTCCAAGCCCAATATGTGTTTCTGTATTCTAGAAATCAACCTCATTTTTAAAATATTTATTTTTTTATTTTAATGTGTATTGAGTGTTTTGCCTACATCTATGTAGGCATGCCATATAAGTGCAGTGCCTGTGAAGGCCAGAAGAGGTCATAGGATCCTCCTGGAACTAGAATTACATATGGTTGTGAGCTACCATGTGGGTTCTAGGAACCAAACCTGTATCCTCTGCAAAAGCCACAAGTGCTCTTAACTGCTGAGCCCCCTCAAAGTCAACCTTTTTGTTTTGTTTTGTTTTGTTTTATTCTGTTTTATTTTTTGAGACAGGGTCTCACTGTGTAGCCTGGATGGCCTGGCACTCACAGAGATCTACCTTCCACTGCCTCCTGAGTGCTGAGATTAAAGGTGTACACCACCAGGCCCAACTTGAAATCAGCTCTTTATCCAAAGTTTAGATTTTCTTGTTCCCTTTTTTGGACAGGTTCCCATTATAGCCCAGGCTGGCCTCAAAAATCAGACTCATTATGTAGCTGAGGATAACCTAGAAATTTTGATCCTCTTACTTCTACCTCCTGAGCTCTAAGATTATTGGCGTAATCATATGTTACCATATCTGGTTTAAGTAGTACTAGGGATCAAATCCAGGGCTTATGCATGCTAGGTAAGCACTGCTCTAACAGGTACATCACCAGTCCTTAGGCTTGGCTTTCCATTTTCAAAATGATGCTTTGAATTTGTTTTATAGGAGGGGTGTTTTGTTGGGTTTGGGGGCCAATTTTGAGACAGGGTCTTGCTATATCACCAGGCCGGCCTGGAACTCAAAAGTACTCTATCATAGCCTCCTGAGTACTGGGATTATATCTTATACCAACACACCCAGCCCAAAATGACTTTTTTTAATACTCAGGAATTCTTCATTTTGATTTTGTTAAAATTCTAGTGGTTCCCTTTATGATGGATCCTTTTGTGAGCAGGTTAAATTTTTTGTATGTTAACTTAATGAAGAGGAAGATTATCTTCCTCTGTTATCTCGTTCCTTAGTTTGTCTTTACCTTCTGGTTCTGACTCCACCTAGTACTCGGTTTTGTTTTTTGTTTTTGTTTTGTTTTGTTTCTTTTTCTTTTTTTATATGTAACGTGGTGTAGAGATCCTTTGGGGATTTTCCCTCTCTGGAGATGTCAGTTTCACTCATTGAAAAGACTGTTCTTCTCCAGTGCTCCCTCACATTGACCTAATAAGTTTCTTTAATCTGTAGTTTGTGCGTATTAGTACTTCCTTTAATTCATTTGTTGTTTTGATGGATTAACTTTGAAATTGGCAGCAACTTTAGGTTAATTTTGTTTGAACTGTTCCCATGGCCTGAAAGAATCAGGACACCCATCCTGATCTAGTAGTACCTGATGTATTTGTGAATGTCTCTGGTTGAACCTGCCTGGTTCCTTTATTACATAGGTGCTGATAGTCGATCTCTGTGCAGACAAGTTCTTACAGGAGGTAAGTGACAAAGGAGGTGGTTACATAATGCTTGGGGACATAGGTCTCTCTGTAGATAATTAAATAGAAAATATGTGAAAGTATATAGAGACGATGACTCAGGCTAGACTTTTAGTTCAAACCCATATCTGAGTGATACTGTAGCCAATCATACAAGATTGACCTGAAAATTTTGGCTGGAGTTTATAGCTGTCTGTCCCAAAGAAGGAAGGTTACTTTCTTCAAAGAAAGTAACCATTGCTTCAGCTCTATAGAGGTTGACATAGAAGCTTCTAATTTAATTTATTGGGCTGGGTTATGTATGTAGCTCAGTGGTAGAGCACTTGTCTAGAACACATAAACTCCTATGTGCAACTCATCACCACAAAAAGAGAAGAGAAATGCACTTATTACCTGGTTATTTCTAGATGCTTGTTAGGCAGTTAGAATCCACAGATGAGAAAGACATAGTTTGAGCCTTCTGGTCTTACTAAGGACGGTGAGCATACACATAAAACTTTAGAAGCAGTATAATAAAAATTTAAACAAGGCATACTGGGCCAAAGAAAAAGAAATGTTCGTTTCTGACGGATATTGAGGAGGAAAGGAAGAGTCAAGTTAGGCCCTCTCAGAGCTGCTCTGGGTGTAAACTGTATGAAAAGAACAAAAAATTTTCCTAGGATTTTGTCTGTTTTCAAAATCAACTGGTTTATCACATTTAAACAGCCATCTATTGAGGGGGAGGGTCTTAGAGATAAAGAATGAAACTTGCAGATAAGGAATTTTATAGAAAAGTGCCAGAAATTTTTATAAGGTGTATTATTTTTTATAAAATACTCCATAAGCAACCTATATTTCATGGAGGGTAGGGAACTTCAAATTAACCAACCCTTAAGGCAGAATATCTACAAAATCACCCGTGGAAAGGGGTTGAGGGTGGGTAGCTAGTACGTTTGAGATTTTCTCTCATAAAGTTCATACAGATTGTATTTTCTCTCGAGGTATCTGATGAGGATGAAATTCTACCACCTAAACTTCAAGCTGCCTTGATGCTGATTTTAGAAGAGCGAAATGAAGTCTTGGCTCAGGAACAGAATTTTTCACAAGGTCTGAGACATGTGGGTTGAGGATGTAGGATTAAGGCAGTGAACATTTAGTGCAGCTGGTCTAGCACTCAGCTGAAGGATGAACAAAAGCAGTGTTACAGAACTGGGCGTGGTGTTACAGAACTACACCTGTAATCCTGGCACTCTGGAGGCAGAAGCAGGTGGATCTATGTGAGATGGAGGCCTTCCTCGTCAAGTTCCAGGCCAGCTGGGGCTACTAGGAGACCCTGTATCAAAAAACAAAACAGCATTAGGTTATCTGTACCTTGAAAATCTTACATCAGCCTCTTTACCGATCCCATTGCTAGGCCCCCTCCTACGTCAGGATCTTCGATAATAGTCACATTCATAGAATGTTTTCTTCCTGTGGGACTGTACTCATATGTCATTTTCTTCACAAAGTCTTCCTGTCTTTTTATTTTGTTTTGTTTTTACCAGTATTATTTTGAGGCCAGGTGTGGTGGCGCACACCATGAATCTCAGCATTCGGGAGGCAGAGGCAGGCAGGTCTCTGAGATTGAGGCCAGCCTGGTCTACAGTATACCAAAAAGAGCCCTCCTTTTGTCAGACCTCCCAGCAATTCTCAGTCCTCGTCTTGACTTCTTTTCAACCTTAAGCATGACTGGTTACTCTTCCTTTGTGATACACTTCTTCACTCAGCTTCTGTGGGATTGTACTGTTGTTTTGTTTTTTCCTTTTCAATGTCTTGCCCATCTTCCTTTTTGCATGTACATTCTTCTGATTTTTCTCCCACTTTTCCAGCTGCCCTTCTATGTCACTCAGATTGGCTTCAAATTTAGGGTCTTTCTACCTCTAGCTTCTGAGTGCTGGGGCACAGGAATGCACCACTGTACCCGGAAAAATAATACTTTTGGTTGGTTTTTGAGATGGAATCTCACTACATAGCCCTGGATGACCTAGAACTCACTGTAGACATGAGTTTCTTGTCAGAGGGAAAGAGAGTTGTCTTGTACCATTTACCGAATCCTTTTTCCATTGACATGCAGGGTGCAGATACAGAACTGGTTTCCCCGCTTTTCTGAGGCAGGGTTTCACTATTTAGTCCTGGCTTGCCTGGACCTTGCTGTGTAGACCATGCTGGCCTCAAATTCACAAAGATCCACCTATCTCTCCCTCTCAAGTACTGAAATTAAAGGTGTACATCTCCACACCTAGCACAGAATACCATTAAAAAGTATTTATGTGACTGGGCATGGTGGCACACACCTTTAATCCCAGGGAGGCAGAAGCAGGCGGATCTCTGTGTGTTGAAGGCCAGCCTGGTCTACATAGTGAGTTCCAGGACAGATGGGGCTACAGGGAGATCCTGTCTCAAAAAAAGCCCAAAAATCCCAGAACTTGGGAGGTGGAGACAGTGGGATCAAGAGTTCAAGGCCAGCTTGGACTACTTGAGATTCTGTCTCAAAAAAACCAAATGAAGAGGGGCATGGTGGCACATGCCTTTAATCTCAGCACTTAGAAGGCAGAGGCTGGAGGATCTCTTGTGAGTTGGGAGGGGGCCTGTTCTACAAAGTGAATTTCAGGCCAGCTGGGGCTAAAACCCCTCCCCAAAAAAAAAAAACCAAAAAAAAAAAAAAAATCATGTGTATGTGTGTGTATGCTACATGTGTGAGCATGTCCTTTGAGGCCAGAAGAGGGCAGTAACTGGAAGACATGGCAAAGTGAAACAGTGTTGAAGACACATGCAGTGAGGACCCACGCATTCTCAGTTGCAGAAAGGTCAAACAAAAACCTAAATTAGAATCCAACAGAAATGCAGGAATAGACCTTAGAAATCAGCTGGTGAACACCCATCTATACAGATACGGACAGGTGTGGATAGGCAAGCCAAGAGAGATGAAGTGTGGTACCCACTATTACATAGCTCTGTTTTGATAGAATTCTGACTAAAACTGGGTCCCTGGTTCCCAGATTGGGGTGGAGCCCATGGAAAAAGATATTGAGGAATGATAAAAGACTGTTTGGGTATGGAAGGAAAAGGAGGGGGAGTCTCAGTTGAATCTTAGGGTTTATCCTGGAACCTGGAAGGTAATAAAATAGTATATTATACTGGGGCTGAAGGGATGGTTCAGTGGTTAAAGAGTGCTTGCTGCTCTTGAAGAGGTCTAGAATTTGGTTCCCAGCACCCACATCAGATGGCTCACAACTACCTGTAACTTCAGCTTTAGGGGACCTGATACCCACTTCTGGCCTGTGTAGGCACATGTACACACATGTGCATACACCCACAGATACATACACAAAAATAAAAATAAAATCAATCTTTAGAATATAGTATATTGCCAGGAGTGGTGGTGTATACCTTTAATTCCAGCACTCTGGAGGCAGAGGCAGGGATCTCTGTGAGTTTGAGGCTAGTGTGGTCTGCATAGTGAGTTCTAGGCCAGCTGGGCCCTGTTTCAAAAAAATAAAACATGGGCTGCAGAGATGACTCAGCAGTTAAGAGCACTGGCTGCTCTTGCAGAGGACCCAGCTTTGGTTCCCAGAACCCACATGGCAGCTAACAATCATCTGTAACTCCAGTTCTAGGGGATCTGATACCCTCTTTTGACCTCCAAGGACACTGCACAACATGGGTGCTTCCATACATGAAGGGAATACACACACATAAAATAAAAAATAAGTATTTTAAAAACACCCAAACAAAAATATAGTATTTACGAGTCATCTGAGATGGAGTCTGGGGATATAGCTCAGTAGCAGAGTACTTACCTAGTGTGTATGAGGCCCTGGGTTTGATCCCTGGCACTGCAAAAAAAAAAAAAAAAAAAAAAAAAAGAAAAAGTCAATTGAGAGCACAGCATCTCTACTTTCGAGTAGAGATGAAATAATCCTGAAGAATTTGACCATTTAGAACCTCAAATGTAAAAGAAATTTTCTGCGTCTTAATTGCGGGAGGCAAAGGCAGGTGGATCTCTGTGAGTTCAAGGCCAGTCTGGTCTACATAGTGAGTTTCAGGCCAGCTCGGGATACAGGGAGACGCTGTCTCAAAAAGACAGACGGACAGACAGGAAGAGAGAGGAGAGAGAGAGAGAGAGAGAGAGAGAGAGAGAGAGAGAGAGAGAGAGAGGCTTACATGCAGGCAATACATTCATACACATAAAGTGTAAGAAAAAAACTTAAAAAAGGCAAGGCTGGGCATGGTGGTGCATACCTTTTATGCCAGCACTCGGGAGGCAGAGGCAGGTGGATCTCTGTGAGTTCAGGGCCAGCCTAATCTACATAGTGAGTTCCAGGACAGCTTGGGCTACAGGGAGATCCTGTCTCAAAAAGACCAAAACAAAAAAAAAGGAGGCAAGAGAAAAACAAATACTTGGTCTCATAAAGGCAAGACCAGAATCAGAAAACCAGCAGAACACAAAGCTCTGGAGACACATGAGGTGGTGCTGAGCACAATCCAGCATAGAGCTTAAAGGATGGTAAAAATAGAAAAGTAGTTAAATTTGGTTGATTCCAGCCAGTGGCTTTGGAAAGAGTAATGAAATCAGTGCACAGATGTGGCTGCAAGAAACAGTAGGATTACCATGCAAGGGCAGCAAAGGCCAAGACGTAAGCCTTTGCCTCTTGCATGCCATTGGCTGTGAATGCACCTTCCTAAGCTATGACTTCTGTGATTAGACATGACTTCCATAAGCAGTGTCAGTGTTTCTATATACACAAAGCTTAGATTTTTCCTTTTTTTTTTCTTTCCTTTTGAAACAGATGTGACACTCAATTCTCTGGTGTCTGAAGCATTTGTAAGGTTTTTTGTGGAGCTCGTGGGACACTATTCTTTGAATATGACTGTCACAGAACGCGGGGAGCGTGTATTCCAGAGGGAGCCATTCCGGAAGTCCCATACCTCCCGAAGTGTACGCCACTTCCTTGATCTGTTCATGGAGACTCAGATGTTTGCAGGGTTTGTCCAAGACCGGGAACTCAGGAAAAGTGGAGTTAAAGGTCAGTTCTATCATGAAGTTCTCAGTATTTGGTGAATACTTAAAAGGACTAAATAGAATACAAATAAAAATGTGTAAACTTACAAGGGCACAACATCTAAGTTATTGTGGGAATTACTTGCAGTATTTTAGCTGTAGAAATAATACACTGGTAATAAGAACAGTCTTGGGCAGATAAGATAGCTCATCAGATAAAGGGGCCTATTGCCAATTCTAATGACTAATAAATGTTAAAAAGGTTTTGAAAAAAAGAGCAATCTGGGGGTGTTGCTCAGGAGTAGGGAACTTGCCTAACAAAGCTCGGAGTTCTACCCTCAATGCTGCCAAAAAGAGAAAGAAAAAGAAACAGTTTTAATTAATTTCCAGGGTTGAGTGTTGGATGTTTTCTTCATAGGTTTGTTTGAGGTCCGGGCTCTCCAATATTTGGAAACTATTCCTGAGTCAGAGCCCAGTGGGGTGAATAGAATTTTACGGAGTCTTGGTGAGTTGCTTAGTTTTCCAAATCTCTCTCTCAGAAGTTTGGATTCCCCATCTGAGGGGCTGTTTCCCTTAGGCAAAGATCCCTAACTATCTCTTTATGCTGTAAGTTTCTGTATCATGATAACTACACTTCTCTAGTTTATGTCCTTTGGGAAAAAATTTTATAAGCTGGCCCTATTTACTAGAAAAATGTATTTAGGCATCAAGAAAAATTCTCATCTAATTTTAGGGTGTCTATGGACCCCCTGAAGCCAGTTCATGGACTTCAGATTTAAAACGCCTGATCTTAGGGACTGTGAAGCAGAAGAGGATACCTGTAATTTTACACTTCATAAACACAGTTGCTTATGATTTTTCAATTATAATTACCCAGTATGACAGAACAGTGGTGTAGCTATCCCAAAACGAACTTATACTCTGTGTATTTATACTGGGCTTTAAAATATATAAGCCCTATCCTTAAGTAGCTGAGAGACCATAGGCAAATTGTGCCTCAGGCTATTATTTCATTTTTATACCAAGGGGTTAGATTAGATCAGATGATAATCTCAAAGGAGCTTTAAAAAAAAAAATCCCTGAACTCTAAGAAATCTCTGGAGAGTAAGCCAGGTAATTTTAAATTCCAGAGTTGAAAACCACTGTATTATATTGTCTTGAGTTCTTATCTAAACTCTACAATTAGACACTGTGGGACTTTTTAGTGGTTAAACTCACCAACAGAGAGAGTAATGTGTCTGCTTTCCATTACTGCCGCAAAATAGCTGAGATAATAAAAATGAAGAGAGGCTCACTTGGGCTCACTGTTTGAGGAGTTTCAGTCCATGGTTGGTTGGTCCTGATGCTTCAGGGCCCGTGGCAAGGCAGAACATTGAGAGGAGTGTGTATGGTAGAAGAAACTGCTCATGTCATGGCTGGCAGGAAGCAGAGAGACAGGAAGTGGCTGGGTATCTGAAGTAGCACACTCATGACCAGACTGCCCCCTTTAGGCACCGCCTCTTAATGGTTCCACCACTTTCTAGTAGTGCTACAAGCTAGGAACCAAACCTTTATACATAATCCTTTGGGGAACACTTATGAAAGCCATGGCACTTGAGCTAACAGTTTGTTAATCCCTTTCCTCAAATAATGTACAACAGATGAAAACTAATTGAAAATTCACTATGTTTTTCACTTTTTCAGGAAACAAAATGAAATTTCTGCATAAGAAATGAAGTTGTCTCCATCCTAAATATAACTGAAAGTGCCAAAGACAGTATTCTCCAAGGAACAGATGTCTTGAAATATTCTACTGAATCCTTGAAACTGTAGGTTAAGGAGAAAGGCTGTCAGAGGAGGATTCTCCTATTGCTGCAGACTTATAGGAAGTAGTCTAGAATGGATGCTGTCTTTATTCTGCCTCCAGTTTGTTTTTTATAGTGGTGTTCTCTGGTTAATGGGCTCATTCTCCGTGTTTTGGGCTTAGTCTGTGAAGGCAGTTTTCTTTTATAAAGGAAAAGACTTGGAAATACTTGATGTTGGACAAAGAATAATGAGAGAAATGCTGAGCTGTAGGTACTAGAGAGGCAGGACAGCCTTACGTACAGTTCTTATCACTAAAGTATCAGGCTGCTTTAAACACATATGCTGTTTGAACTTTCAAAACTCCAGTATATTCACCATAGGTGTCCTTTTATTTTTTTCCTTTGTATAATGTCCTTTCTGAGAATTTCCTATATTAATTAGTACTTATAAAAGCAGACATCTTGTTCCACCACCACGTATATAGAGCTTGAATGGCTTGTTCCTCACACACCAGTGTTTCGCCTCATGAAATACAGCCAATATGAAAGTGTCCCTGTTTGGTTTTTTTGGTGTCCAACACGGGCCACACTGTAGTACATGTATGTTATGTCATCTTATTCGAGATAAATCAGCTTCATGGGATATTTCCACCTTCATTTTACACTTCACAAGGAACTGGAATTCAGAGAGGCTAAATAATTGGGCCAGCTATAAGACAAAGATAGAACTAAGCCAAGACTGATTTATGAACAAAGAAAGCTGGCTAGTCCTAGAGATGGAAATAAGCTATTTAGCATTATAGCAATTTTTAAAGTTCTCCAGTAAGTACGCTAGAGCCACCACTTGTCTCTGAGGAAGAGACTTGAAGCTATAGGTGCTTAGTTGAGGCACTGGGGTTTTTATTTTGTTTCTGTTGCTAGAGATGGAACCCAGGTCCTTATGTTTGTTCTACCATTGATACTTTGAAATTGCTGAGAGTTTTTGTTCTAATTAGGCTCAGAATTTGATTATTTCCTAAGCCTATTCCACTTAACAGATATGTAAAATCTAAAATAGGAGTTATGACTGAAAAAATGAACTTGTCAGTAATGGTGCGGTTTTCATTGACAAATGTAGCAAATGTCAGCTATTTTCTTCAACTTTTGCTCATGGCTTTACCTGGCATGGAAAATATTTATTCAGACTTACAAAATTGTTAATTGTATTGTGATACAACTTACTGACCTGTACAGTATTGTCATAAGCCATTCAAGTGTGTTTGAATGAATCTCAAGCAGACACCACTTAAGAATGGTGCTATGTAACATAGTTCCTAGATGTGGGTCCAGGGAAAAGAACTGAGCCTGTGTCTTTTAAAATATTGATGCAACTTACCCCAGTGGGGCTCCCACAAGACATCTCCCCATTTGGTCTCTACTTATACTCCAGACCTGAGGGAACAATTAATAATTGGTTGGTTGGGGGAGGGTGAGAGAATTTACTGTAGTTGATCCTGGCGTTCCTCTCCAGGGAGATTTTGCTTTGGGGACGAGAGTCTTGCCTTATTCCTACAATCTGAAGCTGCTTCCTTTTCTTGTATTTTGGTTTTGTAAATTATTGTGAATTCTGGATATGTTTGTAAAAGAATTGTTCAAGATTTCTATAAAATGTTTACAGATCTTTTAATGAATAAAGACATTTGAAAATTTGAGACTTAAATTGACCTTTCACTTGAGTTAAATATGTAGGCAGTACACTTACCTAATGTAAATGTAAAAATACCAAATCCATGTTAGACTAACCAGGCTTAGTAGTCGTGATTAACATTTCCAAGGAGGGCTGGAGAGATGGCTCAGCAGATAAGAGCACTGACTTCTCTTGTAGAGGACCTGGGTTCGATTCCCAGCACCCACATGGTGGCAATGAATCATCCTTGACTCCAGTTCCAGCATGGTAGCTACGAATGATCCTTGACTCCAGTTCCAGGGGAATCCGAAGCCCTCTTCTGACCTCTGTGGCATTGCACGACATGGGTGCACTCAAACACATAAAATAAAAATAATTAAAAAAAAAAAATTTCCAAGGAGACAGGTGCCCATTTTTAGAGTCTGTAAAAGAACATAACTGGGGCTTCAGGGATGGCTCAGTGGTTAAGAGCACTGGCTGCTGTTGACAGAGGGCGTAGATTCGGGTCCCAGCACCACATGGTCAGGATCAACCCTGGAACTCCAGTACCAGGGGATCTGACGCCTTCTTCTGACATCTACGGGCACTGCACGACACAGGTGCACTTACATTTAGATGCATAAAAAATAAATTTTTAAAAATATCTATTTTTACGTATATAAGTGCATTGCCTGCATTTGTCTAAGGGTACCTGTGTTGTGCAGTGCCCTCGGAGGTCAGAAAAAGGCGTCGATTCCCTGCAACTGGAGTTAAGGACAGTTATTAGCCGCCATGTGAGTGCCAGAATTGAACTCAGGTCCTGTGTCAGAGCTCTTAACCGCTGAGCTATCTCTCCAGACCCATTAAAAATATATTCTTAAGGGACAAGCTGTGAAATAAGCAATGGGAGAGCTTAGCAGATGAAAGATTGAGAAGGTGGGAAATCGAGTTTTGTCCTCTTGCCAAATTTCCTCAATGGCCTCCTAGCCTTCTCCTGGAGAGATGACAAGGCCCAGTCGGACATGACTGTCAGTGGCAGGCGAAACCGTATCCACCCAGCAGTCGACTGTGGGGCCTCCGCCAGGAGTCTCACCGCCGAAAAGCGAACTTTCCCCTTTTCCTTTGCTTTTGTTCTTTCGGCACGCTTTCCTTCCGCTCTGGGCTTTCAGGCTTCCCCTAAAGGGCCCTCCCCTCTTCTGCCTGCAGCCGCGGGTCTGGCCTCCAAGGGCTAAGCTCCACGCCTACCTCAAAAGGCACGGCTTCCGGCCTTCATCTCTCTCCACCCTGCCCTGTTGTTTTTCTCGAAAACTCTTTAAAATTGTCCTCTACCTTCAAAAAATAGCAACCCAGCGAGAGAAGGATGTGGCTATAGGCAGACGGGACGTCAGCGTGTGACGTCACGTCCACCGCCCACAAAATCCCCCTTTAGCCCAACCGCAACCTTCAGAATTAGCAACTGAGCATGCGCTCGTGGCTAGCGCCGGCGCGTGGATTACGTCGAAATAGGGCGCCGGCTAAAGATTCTAGACGCCTACGGACTAACGGCGCGAGCCATGGCGGGCACGGGTTTGGTGGCCGGAGAGGTGGTGGTGGACGCGCTGCCGTACTTCGACCAAGGCTACGAGGCGCCTGGCGTGAGGGAAGCGGTGAGTGCGGGGTTCGGGGCTCGCCGGCCCGGGCCGAGGCACGCTGCTCTGGCCCGCCCGAGCCTGGCCGGTGTTCTCGTTCTAGGCTGCGGCTCTGGTGGAGGAGGAAACGCGCAGATACCGACCTACCAAGAACTACCTGAGCTACCTGACAGCCCCGGATTATTCTGCTTTTGAAGTAAGTGATGTCGTGAGCCCACGGACCAACGATGATTCCTACGGACTTCTATGCATGAGGGCTTTAACTGTAAAAGTGAATTTTATATTCCAGTATAACTGTTGCTTGCTTAGCTGCTGCTTCATGTTGTGTAGACATCAGTCTCTTTAAAACAGCCAGATAAGCCATCCCAAGAGTTCATATTACAAGAACCAGTGGAATATTTCCTGGGGCCCTGCAGATTCTTGTAATATAAAAAACCCGAGTGTATTTTTTTTTTTCAAATATAGTCCAGCTGAGGTTGTGGCACACGCCTTTAATCCCAGCACTCGAAGGCAGAGACAAACAGATCTCTTTGATTCCAGCCCAACCAGGGCTAAATAGTGAAACCCTGTCTCCAAAAAAGAAAAAAAATTCACATGTAAATTCTCAAAGGGATCCTTTATTCTCTAAGTTCCTCTCTACAGCGTTTAATACATTTTATACATTTTATACATCATATATATTTAATACATCAAAGGCTTTTAATACATGTAAGCTTAATTACTTGTACTCTTTACAACCACTGGTGGAACATCTTTTGTACCAAATTTATGTGTGAATGCCTGAGCAAACCTTATCAAGCTGAATACCATTTAAAATGATTAACCTAGAAGGACAACCAGAATGCCAGCCAGGCTCTCACCAGCCAATAAAACATGTCATTTCTAAATTAGTGGACTCTGTTAAACATTTTAGTCCATATTTAAGATTTTTTTCCCATTATATAGTGTTATCTAAAATACTTATTATTTTTATTTTAAGTGTATGAGTGTATTGCCTGCATGTATGTAAGTGCGTCTGTGTCATGCAATGTCCATGGAGGACTATATGGTGTTATTTAAAAGCAGAATGCTTGTTGCACCATCTGACTGAGAAACCATCTGAAGTCTGAACCATTGTTGTGCCCAGGTTAGTCACTCCAAGTGGCCTCTGGATACAGTTGAGAGGTAAAGGAGATATGTAAGATGCTGCTGTTGGCATAAAGTGATGTGATGTTGAGGGGAAAATTGATAGGGTTACATACTAATGGATTAAAAAACAGCACAACATAAGCATAAACTAGTGACATGGTCATTTCTTACCACTATTAAATATTGCTGTTCATAATCCTTTGCGCTGTGCTTTCTACGGCTAACAGTGCTTGCACATTTATTTACACCAGCATCAACATAAACACATGAGTTAATTCATCGTACTGTGTTAAGGTGGCCAAGATGTCTGTCATTAGGCAATAGGAAGTTTAGCTCTGTTTAAGTATTTTGGGACTTAATACCGACCTACCAAGAACTACCTGAGCTACCTCTTCAAATATGTAATCCATCATTGCTGTGTAGGATTGTATGTATTTATATTGAATACATTGAAAAAAATATTAGTACATTTTAAATAGATGAAAGAGGCTCCTGTGGTACACTATTTTCTTCTGCTTTTTCTTAATGTTATTATCTAAATGTAGTTACCACATTGATAACTAAAGTATAGTCAGGCATGGTAGTGCCCACCTGCAGTTCCAGCACTACAGAAACTAGCAAGTTCTAGGCCAGCCGGGGCTACAGGGAGACCCTGTCTCAAAAAGACAAAAAAAAAAAAAAACCAAAAAAACAAAATTGCTATTTGAAAACCCAGCACTTGGATTACCACAAGTTCCAGGCCAGCCAGGGATGCATAGTGAGAACCTGAGGGATTTTTTTTGTTTTTTAAGATGCTGATTGGACTGCTGGCTTGTGTTTCATTAAAAAAAATCATCATATGAATTTTGGCTAGGGATTAAGACAGGATTTTCAACAATTTCTTAAATGGTCCTAAACGTAACTTCTACATTTTGTGCTCTAATTTATGGAAAACACTGTTCTCATCATTAGCCATTATAAAATAAGAGTATTGGGCTGGAGACATGGCTCAGTGATTAAGAGAACTGCCTGCCCTTGCAGAGGACTTAGGTTCAGTTCCCAACCGTCTTTTCCAGGGAATCCAACACCCTCTTCTGGCTTCTGCAGGCATTGCACAACACAGGTGTGCTTACATGCATGTAGACAGTACATTCATATACATAAAATAAAAAATAATAAAATATTAAATGATATCAAAATATCATTCAGCTCTGAAAAACATTGAAGATGTCCAGCATCCTGAAGTATCTGGTATTCAACCAAGACTTAATTCTTTGTGTAAAAATAAACAACACATCCATCTTATTGGTGTGTAAATTTGCTTTGTCTTTAATAAATGATAAAGTATACCAATGAATTCTGGTGTATGATGTAGAACTTGCTGTGTAGACCAAGTTGGTTGCAGCAGACTTCCTGGGACCCTTCTGCTTTTGCCTCCTGGGTGTTGAGATTAAGAGTGCACCAGCGTACCTGGCTCCAAAATAAATTTCTTTATGATTCAATGCCGGTACATGTTTGTACCTACTTTATATATATTTATATATAAATATAAAATATATATATTTTATATATGTCACAAACATTTCTCATGAGAAAAGGGATTGTGAGTGGAAAAAGTTTAAGACACTCTCGCCTAGAACAGTGCTTGGCATCTAATAGGTCCCTAGAGGTATACCATTAACTATGTAAACCAGAGCTTTCAAGCCATATTGGTTAATAAATGCTTACTCTGAACCCAGCATGCTTCTTTGGGGTTCTTTTTCAGGTCTTAGCTTTTTGAATGGTTTCTCAAACTTAGAGTTGAGCTAAAGTTCCAAATATATTGCTTACTGGCAATATAAGGTAGAAAAAGGTTCCTGTATTACAAGTCTAAATTTTTTATTTTCTTTCTTAGCTGAGTGTTATTTGGTAGTCTTTGCCACAGTACATAGCCCAGCATGCTCTAATTTTCTACAGGAAACTAGATAACCACACTTTCTTAGTAATAACCCAAAAAGCTTTCTCTGATGTTTGATGTGGGTTCTGAAAGGTTTTTTGCTTACTCTAATATGATTATTAGGATAGTTGAAAGTTTCAGAAAATGAAAACTACATGGGATAATCAAAGTATTACTATAAATATTATATTTTAATGTTCCTTCATATTCAGGATAGAAAATGTGCAGAGCAGAATTGGAATAGGATACTGACCAAAATGTTAGACTTAAAGAGGTACAACTGTGGTCCACCATTACCGCTCCATGGGAAACACTTGCCTAGCATGAGTGAGGCCCTGGGTTCACAGCACAGTTCTTAAAAAAAAAAAGATAATCATGTCCAGTTTGATTTCAGATAATTAGATAGGAATGCAGGTAAGGTGAGGCACAATATGGGTTGTGGAGTATGCAGAGCTCCTCAGCCGATTGCAGTATGCTTCTGAGACTGAAAACTGTTGGTTGAGGGCGAATCCTTTACACCGTGGGCTCCTTTATATCTGCCTTCTTTCCTACCTAGACTGAGTATGGCATCTTTCTTCAGATCCTAGAGAGCACTGAGCCCAGAGAAAAGCAGGGGAGTGGGGTGGCTGAGGGTGTAGTTTAGTGGTAGAGTGAGTAATCGAGGGAAGGGAAGGAGTCCGTTGTGATGTGTAGTGTAGTTTATAATACCTTGGTAAATTAAATTCATTATTTGCATCATGTCAGTATGATCCTAGGAACAATTCTTTCTCTTATTTGTACATCAGACTGACATCATGAGAAATGAATTTGAAAGACTAGCTGCTCGACAACCAATTGAATTACTCAGCATGAAACGGTAAGAGAATTAAGATAAAAGTTAAGATTTATTTATGGTAATTCAGTAGTAGCAGGCGTGAGGTTTATGATGAGTATATTTGGTGATTGTGTTGATAGGCAGTGTAAAGAGAAAATAGTGGAGTTTAATATAAACAAATGATTAGGTATCCCCCCCTTTTTTTCCACTGGGAGGGTTGTATTCATTTTGTTAAAATGTGAGCAAAGTTTGTTTTCCTTTAATCTTTAATATAGTAAAGTATTTTTTGAGATAGGGTCTCCCTGTAGCCCCAGCTGACCTGGAACTCGCTTTGTAGACCAGGCTGACCTTGAACTCACAGAGATTGCTTGCCTCTGCCTCCCAAGTGCTGGGATTAAAGGCATACACCACTGCGCCCTGATAATAAAGTATTTTTCAGTAACTTTTTTTTTTTACTATCTTATTATTTTTATTTTATGTGTATGAATGTGTTGCCTGCATGTGTGTGAGTGTACCCATGTCATGCAGTGTCAGAAGAGGGCTTTGAATTCCCCTGGAACTGGAGTTAAGGACAGTTTATAGCCACCATGTGGATGCTAGGAATTGAACCCAGGTCCTCTGCAAGAGCAGTCAGTGCTCTTAACTGCTGAGCCATCTCTCCAATCCCTCAGTAACATTTTTAGAGCTGGTGAAGCAGAGTCTCCATCATGACAGGAACAGTGACCACTGCAACAAGGTCTTACAATGGGAGAGAGACACTGGAGGCAAGATGTAGTCACACCATTTCATAGCTGATGTTCCAGGACTTTATTTGAATGTGTTATAGCTTATTAACTAGTTCACATTAAGATGAACATTTATTTTTTTTGTTACATTATATTGTTACATTTATTTGTAAATTGGTTGTTTCTTAGAATAATAAGTTTCTCTTTACTGCAAGGTCTATATTACATCTTTGCTTTTTTGTAGGTTGGGGTTTTGTTTTGCTTTGTTTTTTTCCAGGGTTTTTTGTTTGCCCCTTTGTATACAGTGCATACACCCCTGGGAATTTTGTTGGAAACAGGGATTAAGGCTTGGCGAGACATACTAGTTTATTTGATTTTGTTGTATAATTTCAGATATGAACTTCCAGCCCCTTCCTCAGGTCAAAAAAATGACATTACTGCATGGCAAGAATGTGTGAATAATTCCATGGCCCAGTTAGAGCATCAAGCAGTTCGGATTGAGAATCTGGAACTAATGTCACAGCATGGCTGTAATGCCTGGAAAGTGTATAATGAGTAAGATTTGGGGGTTTTGCTTGCTTTTTTGTTTTTCTTTTTTATCCCATCCCACTCAAAGCTTTCATATTTTAAAAAAAGTGTGTTATGTACACTCGGTGCATGTAATCCCAGCACCTGGGAGGCTGAGGCAGAAGAGCTACCACAAATTCAAGGCCTGCCTGGACTACATATTGAGTTAGAAATCCCCCTCGGTTATAGCAAAACCCTGTCTCAAAAAAAAAAAAACAAAAAACAAAAAACAAAAAACTGGGCAGTAGAAGTGGGAGTGGGATAAAAGGCAATATACCTAGATTGAATTGGAAATCATATGATCATACACAACTGCAGCCACACACAAGGCTAAGTAAGCTATATGACTTCTTATAACCTGACTACATTTACTGTACAGTACTGTAAGAAAATGAACAGAATACCACTTGATAGAATGCAGTCTTTAATATGGAGATGCTTACTAGCTGATTCTCATTTACATGCTATATACTGTAAAGTCCCGCTGGCCAGGCAAAGTGTCTCACACTGATAGCCCCGGCACTCAGGAAGTGAAGGTAGGTGGATCACCATGAATTTGAGGCTGGCCTGGGCTTCAGAATGAGACTCTACCTCAAAAAATAAAATTAAATGAATAAAGTCCTCCTGGACACAGAATTGTTCATTAATATGCCATTTCTTCTGTGGGAAGTACAGAGATGTAGACACACACACACACCTTTCATTATAGATTATAATCTTAAGTCCTTTTTGTTTTTGTTTGTGGTTACACAGGGTGTCACTGTGTAGCCCTGGCTGGCCTGGAATCACAGAAATCCACCCACTTCTGCAATTAAAAACAACTTATCTTGGTACACTTTATTTTTTATTTTAAAGAGAAAAAAAGTGTAAGTACAGTGGCTTATGCAGTCTTGGCACTCAGGAGACTAAAGTGAAGGATTGCCATGAGTTCAAAGTTAGTTTACACACCTTAGAGCCTGCCTCAACCCTTCACCCCCTTCAAAAAGAAATTACAAACTGTTACTGGGGCTACCTCACTAATAGATGCCGTATCTGAAACTTAAATTCCATCCTCCATGGAGTTTGATGGTAGCTCAGTGGTATATTGCTGCCAGGCATGTACAGGTCATGGGTTTGATGCGTAGCACCAAAAAAATTGAGAGAGTGAGATTTGGATATTTAAAACAGAGCAAGGAAACCAGGCATGGCACAGCTATAATTCCAGCACTTAGGTGGTAGAGAGAAGAGGCGCTCAAGTTCAGGGTCAGCTTGGGCTGTATATTGGGACTTCTCAGACAAAAAAGAGAGACAGTATGGAGAACACTGGAATACCTGTTACATTGAAAAGAACACTGCACTTTAATCTTCCTTGATTCGGATTCTGTCTGCAGTGCTCTCTCCTCACTAACTGCTGCTCAGCATTACTTGTTTTCCATTTAATCACACAAGTGCTCTCTGCTGTTGAGCACTCTGAGCATATTTAGGCTCTCTAAACCCAAGAGATGCTTTTCCAGAGGAGGTGTTTGTTATCAAAGTAAATTTAAAAGGAACAATGGGACAAGAGAGAAGGTAACAAAACTTTCAAGAAAAGAGAATTCAATTGAAAGATCCTTTTTTAATGATCAGGTAGTGTTTAGCATGGAGTAATTATTGAAACCTCAGAAAGTGAAAAGAGCTGAGGGAAAACCTAGAAAGGTACAGCTGTTTGATAACTGCAGTTATTGTAAAAAGAAACACATCATTAGAGGAGGGAGATTCGCACACACAACACAGTCAGGCCAAGGTGGTTCAGAGGGACCTGAAAAACTTATCTACTGTCATAAGAGGAAGCTGCTATGCTATGTGCTTTCCATCTTCATAATTAAAAGGAGTTATGATAGGCTGGGTCAGGTGACACATGCCTACGTTTCAGCATCTTGAGCACAAGGATTGCTTGACCTAGGAGCTCGAGGCCAGGCTGGGCAACATAGTAGGACACTGTTTCCAAAACAGTACTCGGGAGAGTTTAAGAAGTAACATTGGCATTAAAAAAAAAATCAAGTATCAGTAAACTGCTGGATTAAATTAGCCAATTTATGATATATCTAACATACTTGACAGAGCTCAAATATTTTTAGCAGAGAACTTAGTGTGAACTCCCTAGTTCCCTTTTGGTTCATATTACTAGATTTTAACATATATATGCTCTTTTTCTTTAGAAATCTAGTTCATATGATTGAACATGCACAGAAAGAGCTTCAGAAGTTAAGGTAAATTATTTTTTCCTATTTTGAATAAAACAAGTGAAACTTTGATAAAGTGTGGATGGAAACCATTAAGACTAGAGTTTATTTACTTTGGGAGTGGGAGAGGCTTTTTTAAGACAGAATCTCCCTGCAGGCCCAGCTGGCCTGGAACTCACTATGTAGACCAGACTGGCCTTGAACTCACAGAGCTCCAACTGCTTCTGCCTCCCAGGTGCTAGAACTAAAGGCGTGTATCACCACACCTGGCAAGTTCATCTACTTTTTTAAGCAATTGTTTAAAAAGTATTTTATTAGGCACATGAGTTTATTGCCTGCATGAATGTGTCATGCAATGTCTGCAGAGGTCAGAAGGGGCATCTGATTTCCCTGGAACTGGAGTTATGGATGGTTGTTAGCCACTACGTGGGTGCTGGTAAACGAACCCAGGTTCTCAGCAAGAGCAGTCAGTGATCTTAACTGCTGAGCCATCTCCCTAGCCCCTAAATAATTAATTTTTTAATATGAAGTACATGTTATATGCTGCTGCCAGTATATATAAAATAATTACCTTTATGAAATAGAAATTCATAAAAATTCAGAGAAGTAGATATTAAGGACTAGCACAATAGTTTGTGTGCTTTAGCATGTGTGAAAAGGAAGCTTTTATATTT